TCATGTTGTTGCTCCCCCACAACAACATAGCAACCTTGTTTAGCTTTGAGTACGTCCTATAGAGTTAGATGCTACTCATAGTCCAACACTCTACAAACAGACTTTATCTCTTATCTCAATGACTGTTCAGATCCCAAAATGGAGCCAAATAGAGATTGGTAGGTGAATGCAGACAGTCCACCATTTGTATTGACCCTGCCTTTTCTTCCTGGCTCTAGAAGAGCTAACAGAGACGGGTCTGTGCCCCAAATGGCACCCTATACTGTGCCCTACTTTTGACCAGGGCCCATAGGGACTTGGACAAAAGTAGTACACTATGTATAGAATAGGGTACCATTTGGGATGCAGACAGAGACAGTATTCATGAAACAGGAACAGGTAATGTCTCAGGTGAACTGAGATTGGCCTAGAGAGAAAATAGTTGGCCAATCATTAACCAGCCCTGGGTTGTTGTTTCTGCCTCTAGACACTGTATTTAGTCATGCCTGATGGAGCAGAATTCAGGAAGTGCTCCGAAATTGGAACACTGTACTGTGGCCAGGTAGATTAGGAAGACAAACTCATGGCTGCACTGCTATCAGGGCCAGGTTCAGGAGGCAAACATTGTTCAACGTTGCAGAGAGAAATGTCATTATTAGTGCTGACGTGATTCCTTATTCTACATCATATACAGTATTTATGTCTGAATGTTCAGCAATGTAGCGCCCCAGGACTTTTTAACTAGGTGACACAGATCCTGTTTCCCAACCTGAACATGTCACGATCGTTTACTGATGAGACGGACCAAGGCGCAGCGTGATAAGCGTACATTTTATGAAGTACTAGGTTACACAAAACAAACCTTAACGGAACAAGATCCCCCACGACTAGTGCCAAACAGGCTGCCTAAGTATGGTCCCCAATCAGAGACAACGAGCTACAGCTGCCTCTGATTGGGAACCACCCTGGCCAACATAGATCTACACGATCTAGAACATCAACATAGAAAATATAACCCAAAACTCCACACCCTGGCTCAACATTTCAGAGTCCCCAGAGCCAGGGCGTGCCTGAACATGCCTCTCCTCACAAGTTGTAAATCTACATCCTTCAGTACGTTGACAGTTGGATATCATTCTTATCATAGTTATAAGACATAATTATGTGGTTTGATTTCTGCACGTGAACAAGATTGAGAAACCTGTTTGTGGCGGTTTGTTTTGGAACCACCACAGTAACTCTCAGTTAAACTGACTTTAGACCACTAAAACTAATGAGGCGACTACAGTAATTGCAGCATTTAGGCTGTAAGCTGGTTTGGACCTGTACATGCTGTTGATGTTTTAGGCTCTACCTTCTGTTGACAATTCATTATTTTTCCCTTTCCCCCCATGTCCTTAATTTGATCAAAGGCAGGTGAACTCGTTCCATTCCATCCAAACCTGGTAAACAAAAATATTAGCAGAACAGACAGACAAAGGTTGACTGGGATATAGGTTAGTGCCTGTGCTTGTCTGTCTGTCTGTCTGTCCGTGACTGACTCAGTGAGGTCATTGTGGTCATGTGATAGTCTGGTGACACACTGACAGTCTGGTGGTGACAGTTAGATAGGGGAACTGAGGAGAGCAGAGCAATGGACAGCACATCCCTGACGACACTCAAGCACATTATTCAGAATATTCCGTATTAGTTCATTCCGGGGCAATGTCACAGCCAACACTGCTGATTGAAGCTGTGCTAAGTGAAGGTTGGTAGGGTGCTAGGAGAGATGGTGGCGAGGTAGCCTTGCATACGACCAGTGTTTCTCTCCTCTGTCTGTCTGCCAGCCTGATATCACAGGCACACACACACATTTGTTTTACTATCCTTTTGGAGACCAAACAATTGATTCCCATTCAAAATCCTATTTTCCCTAACCCCTAAACCTAACCCTTAACCTAACCTTAACCCCAAATCCCTAAACCTAACCCTAACCCCTAACCCTAATTGTAACCCTAACACCTAAGCCTAAAATACAATTTTCCTTGTGGGGACTGGCGAAATGTCCCCAATTCTGGTCCCCACAAGGATAATAAAACCGAACACACACACACACACACACACACACACACACACACACACACCTCTTCTTGTCCTGCCAACTAGGCACCAGTGCTGACTTGCAGTAGAGCCTTACTCACTCCTACTGTAAGTGTCAAAATAGAGATGTTTCCAGCTCATTTCACTTCTCCAGGAGGACTGGAATGTGATTGTTAGTGTAGCTGTCATGTGGGATGTTTTGATTCTGCCGTTAACCTTTGTTCCAATTAGTGGTCAAGGGTAATGACGTCTGGGGAGGCCACGGCACGGAGTGAGATATTTCCTCCATGGCTCTAACAAGCAGGGAACCTGTGGTGAGGGTGGATGGACGGATGGAGAGATTGGTTCGGGGGAGTTCTTGGAGAACTGTTGAACAAATATGCCATGAAACAGTTATGTTCAGGAGTTGTTGACTGGTGAATGGCTCAGTCAGTTCATTTCTGGTGTGTTTCTGTCAGTGGTGTTTTTGTTCCTTTTCCGTTTCCCGACTCTGTCATGGGAGATTCAAGTGCACACAGTGGAGATATGGAGTTTTTTGTATTTATTAGTCTTTCTCTCTCTCTCTCTCTCTCTCTCCCTTCCTTCCCCCCTCTTTCCCTCCTTCTCTACTCAAGGACAGTTGTTTACAGTTAGGAGTTGAGTTGGGAACAGCCTGTGCTCTAACCTCAAGTAGAGGGCTACATAAGAGCTGCTCTGGACTTTCTCTTACTCTGTCATAAATAGTGTGGGGAAAGCATCACCAAGACTCCACACACATGACTCATTCTCTGTCAACAACCTCCAAAAAACACATTTTTCGATTTCCTAATATGATGTCATGCGTTACATTTTTTGGAAAACTCGTTTTTGAGTAATGCGTGCGTCTCTATGGCTATGCATGTGTTTTTACACAGGTGTCTTTATACATGTGTTTTTACACAAGTGAATGCATTGATCTGATTAAAGCGTGACCTAGTCTTATATCCTGGCTCTTTCTTGTGTTCTCTCCTCAGCTTCCCAATATGTTTGGTGACCTTCGTTCCACCTTCATCGCTCTCATGATTGGATCGTATGCGTCCTCCGCTGTCACCTTCCCTGGGATCAAGGTAACTTACACACACATCTACTTACAGTTGAAGTCAGAAGTTTACATACACTTAGGTTGGAGTCATTAAAACTTGTTTTTCAACCACTCCACACATTTATTTTTAACAAACTATAGTTTTGGCAAGTCGGTTAGGACATCTACTTTGTGCATGATACAATTAATTTTTCCAACAATTGTTTACAGACAGATTATTTCACTTATAATTCACTGTATCACAATTACAGTGGGTCAGAAGTTTACATACACTAAGTTGACTGTACCTTTAAACAGCTTGGAAAATTCCAGAAAATGATGTCATGGCTTTAGAAGCTTCTGATAGGCTAATTGACCTCATTTGAGTCAATTGGAGGTGTACCTGTGGATGTATTTCAAGGCCTACCTTCAAACTCAGTGCCTCTTTGCTTGACATCATGGGAAAATCAAAATAAATCAGCCAAGACCTCCACAAGTCTGGTTCATCCTTGGGAGCAATTTCCAAACGCCTGAAGGTGCCACGTTCATCTGTACAAACAATAGTACGCAAGTATAAACACCATGGGACCACGCAGCCCTCATACCGCTCAGGAAGGAGACGCGTTCTGTCTCCTAGAGATTAACGTACTTTGGTGGGAAAAGTGCAAATCAATCCCAGAACAACAGCAAAGGACCTTGTGAAGATGCTGGAGGAAACAAGTACAAAAGTATCTATATCCACAGTAAAACGAGTCCTATATCGACATAACCTGAAAGGCCGCTCAGCAAGGAAGAAGCCACTGCTCCAAAACCGCCATAAAAAAGCCAGACTACGGTTTGCAACTGCACATGGGGACAAAGATTATACTTCTTGGTGAAATGTCTTCTGGTCTGATGAAACAAAAATAGAACTGTTTGGCCATAATGACCATTGTTATGTTATGAAGGAAAAAGGGGGACGCTTGCAAGCCGAAGAACACCATCCCAACCGTGAAGCACGGGGGTGGCAGCATCATGCTGTGGGGGAGCTTTGCTGCAGGAGGGACTGGTGCACTTCACAAAATAGATGGCATCATGAGGAAGGAAAATTATATGGATATATTGAAGCAACATCTCAAGACATCAGTCAGGAAGTTAAAGCTTGGTCGCAAATGGGTCTTCCAAATGGACAATGACCCCAAGCATACTTCCAAAGTTGTGGCAAAATGGCTTAAGGACAACAAAGTCAAGGTATTGGAGTGGCCATCACAAAGCCTTGACCTCAACCCTATAGAAAATGTGTGGGCAGAACTGAAAAAGCGTGTGCGAGTAAGTTGGCCTACAAACCTGACTCAGTTACACCAGCTCTGTCAGGAGGAATGGGCCAAAATTCACCCAACTTATTGTGGGAAGCTTGTGGAAGGCTACCCGAAACATTTCACCTAAGTTAAACAATTGAAAGGCAATGCTACCAAATACTAATTGAGTGTATGTAAACTTCTGACCCACTGGGAATGTGATGAAAGAAATAAAAGCTGAAATAAATAATTCTCTCTACTATTATTCTGACATTTTACATTCTTAAAATAAAGTGGTGATCCTAACTGACCTAAGACAGGGACTTTTTACTAGGATTAAATGTCATGAATTGTGAAAAACTGAGTTTAAATGTATTTGGCTAAGGTGTATGTAAACTTCCGACTTCAACTGTAGCTAGTCTACACACACATGCACACCATGCACATCATTATGCATGCACACCATTATGGAGGTTAGCTATGAAGGCTAACTATGCTTTGTACTATCAGGGCTACCTATTTGACTCTACTTTCCTATTCCCTCATGTCAGTGTGAAGGTCAGACATAGAGGCTAATGTTGTGGTTGTTGGTCCCTGCTTCCTCTCTCATCAGGTGATCTATGACCTAGGAGCCACCTTCATCACCATCTTGCTGGTGTGGGCTGCCTGCGCTGGCCTCGTCTTTATCAACTGCTTCTTCAATTGGCCCCTGGAGCCCTTCCCTGGACCTGAGGATATGGACTACACGTAAGACACACACTAAACATCACACTCCTTAACATAAAATGAGTTAGCTTTTTTAGTTATTATTAGTTTTACAGCATATTTTCATTCCTGGTAACCTAAAAATAGCAGACATCCCTGTAACCTAATATTAGTTTAGTATTACTAGTATTTGCTACTTATATAATTAATGATGTGATATAACTTATATTATTAGTTACAGTATAACATTAGTTATAACCTAATAGACAGACAGTTCCTAATATTAGCCAACAATAACAGGTTTAGTGGATAATACTAGGCTACTTAAGTTGGAGTAGGAATATTAAGGCCTTCCATAGAGTCTCCATTCTCCTTGGAGCTCAGAACACTACATCCCCCAGCACACATTCCTCTGCAGCATGGCAAAGGCTTGAGGCCCTGTGTACAGGAAAGCTAATGAGATGAGGAGCTCAACTGGCTTTGCTCTCATTCACCTGGATTTAGTCTCATCCTTACCTTTTTTTTGTCCCTTCCCCCGCTCCCTCTCTCTCTCTCTCTTCTCTCTCCTCAATCCCGCTCTCTCTCTCTCTCCATCTCCCTCTCTCTCTCTCCCCTCTCTCTCTCTCTCTCTCTCTATCTCTCTCTCTCTCTCACCCGCTCTCTCCTCTTCTCGTCTCCCTCATCTCTCTCAGTGTGGTTCAAGTTCGCTGGCTGGGCTCTCTTTCGACCATAAGATCACTCCCGTTCTACTCCCTCAGTGTGAAGATCAAGTTCAGCTGGCTGGGCTTTGACCATAAGATCACTGGAAAGCAGTTCTACCGCCAGGTGACCACGGTGGGGAGACGACTTAGCGTGGGGAACAGCATGAAGCAAAACCCCAAGGATCTGGCCCAACAGGAGGGCAACAAGCTGTGTCTCTCCACCGTTGACCTGGAGGTCCAGTGCAAGTCCCAGGAGGAATGTAAGTGTCTAGCCAGGCCACATCTGTTCATCCCAGACCAGAGAACATGATGCATTTGATGTCTTTCAGATGGAGAGTAGGAAAATAAATAATGTGCACACTGTGAGTGTGATGGGGTTCATTCTCTAAATGGATTTGCCATAATGGATTTCAAGCTCTGTACCTCCACAAATCCATACTCCATAAGGCCAAAACAAAGGACATGTCTGCCAGAAACCTGTCTGATGTAAAAAGACCCACAAAAACTGTCCAGCCACTTCACCAACACAACTTCCTGCTCCATCCATGCTGTAGAATTTAGATAATAGATCCAACACAACAATACAAAGGATCATTGTAGCCCTGCTTAATGGGTAAACAGAGGTAAACAGTCGACCATATGCTAGATCTGGGCCTGTATCTTGTACTGATCTAGAATCAGGTCCCCCCTTTTTCATATAATAATCTTTTTTATGATATAATAGGCTAAACTGATCCTAGATATAGGCCCAGATCTAGCATATGGTCGACTGTACCTCTATGATGGATTGCTATTCCAAAAAGCGGATTGCTATTCCATACTCTACAACTCTTTGTAAATACGGGCTCTGACTGCATTGGTGCAATGTTGATGTTTCAGAGTGGGCTCACCACCAGCCAGTGTTTTGGTCCCAGCCGCCAGCTTGTCTGAGGGAGCGCTGTCATTGGCTCTGAGGTCACCAAGGCCATCCTCCCTCTCCCAAATTAAGTCCTGCAAACGCACAACTGGCTGTGCACTTTGCCTTCACTAACCCAGATCTGTACACTGCAATTAGCCACAAACCTCCAAAACACCCTCAAATCAGCCATGTGTCCCCTCCTCGCCTCTGCTGTGCCCCCTCCGTGCCCCCTCTCTCCCTCGGGCTCGGCCTAAGGGTCACAAACTCCCAGCGGGGCACCCTGTGGTTCTCTGCAGGCTCTCTTTGGTACCAAACCGACCGTGCAATCGATTCGGACCGCATTCCAAGAAGTGCTGCTCGGGTGGCGGTGGTGAGACCGGGCCAGAGGGCAGGTAGCAGTCAGTAAGGGTCCTGGGGGGGGTCATTATACACACAGGATGGATGCCCGTGGTTCTGTAACCCTGCTGGACAAATTCCACGTATCAGGAGGTTTTCAAGGGGCCGCTTGCTAACTCCCCATGCCTCTCTTTCTCTTTTGTCTCTTTCTGTCTCTCTCTCTCTCTCTTTCTCTCTCTCTCTCTCTCTCTCTCGCTCTCTCTCTCTCTTTCTGTCTTTCTCTTCTCTCCTCTCTCTCTCTCTCTCTCTCTCTCTCTCCTCTCTCTCTCTCTCTCTCTCTGTCTTCTCTGGTCTTTCTCTGTCTCTCTTCCTCTCTCTCTCTCTCTCTCTCTCTCTTCTCTCTCTCTCTCTCTCTCTCTCTCTCTCTATCGCTCTCTATCTCTCTCTCTTTATCTCTCTGTGTTTGCCCACTCATCATTCTGATGCATGTGATGGTGGTGATTTATTTGGTTGTTAGGAGTTTTTTCCTTTTCAAAGGAGACTCACTGAAAAATAATTTATCCCTCTGGGGATGCTGCCTGGGACCTCTTTTGTGGATCGGTTCTTATATCAACCAACCCATTACGAGACTGTTTTGTGTTTAAGTAAACACTGGTCATGACGACTATTGATCCCGGTGTGTCCTTACAAGTGTGGTCACATAGTGTGCCAGTCAAGAATGTAGGATCAGATCCCCCCCCTCTTATTAATTATGATCTGCAAGACAAAACTGATCCCAGATCCTACTGTGAGACACTTTGTGAATAATATTCTAAAACATATTATGGGTCCAGGACACAGGGGAGTCCCAGTGTTATAGATGGAGACAGACTGTTAGAACCACCTGCTCTCATGTACCAGCCTCTAAGCCCCTTGTCCAGCCAGTATGTCAGCTATGGTCCAGTCTCCAGAGCATTGGGCAGATACCTGCAGCACTGGGTAATAAACGCTGGACACATCTGTGGCGTGACCATTAAGACTTTTCCACTGCCCTGCCGCTGCTTTTACAGCTTTGAGATCAGTAGATGATTAACGGACCATGGCCCCTGGCCCCTTGCTTACAGCACGGGCCTCCACATGTTACCTTGCCATCCAGGGACCCATGGACAATTTAGACTTCGAGCTTCCCTATTTCCCTACCTCCATGTTAATTCTGAGGTGAAGCATCTTGCCCTGGTAGTTTTCCATCACAGCATGTGGAGGAAATGAAAGAAGGCCTATCCTGTACAGTACAGACAGTAAAACCTCACTCCAATCTGATAATAAATATTATAATCCTGTGTATTATCCAATAATAAATCAAGTTAGCTAAATAGCTAGCATTCTGAGATTTAATGCAGCATCACAGTTTAACCTTCAGCTTTACTGGAGTGAATGGTAAGGTACCGTGTTCTGTTGTTGTTGTTAATCTGTCTCTCCTCCTGTGTCTCCACAGCCCAGTCCTTCATGAAGAGTGTCTTAAGCCCTATCTTCATGCTCAGCCTGATCACCATGTGTGTCACCCAGCTGAGACTTATCTTCTACATGGGAGCCATGAACAACATCCTTGAGTCACTGTCCGACAGAGACTTCAGCACAGGTGTGTGTGTGCGTGCGTGTGTGTCTTGAAAATGTGTCTTGAACATGGACATGAAAAGTTATCAATCCCTTGTAGTGTTCATATAGTAGTTTACTGGACAATTAGTCACATGATTGCTATTTTGTCATTCTAGCAATCTTGTAACCTCCTTTGTAATCTCTCCAACCTGGAGTTGTTTCACACTGCCCTTATTTCTGTCTCTGAATTGCTTCGGCTAATTATTCTTGGTCTGTCTCTCTTCCTCTTCCTCTTCCTCTTCCTCTTCCTCTTCCTCTTCCTCTTCCTCTTCCTCTTCCCCTTCCTGTTCCTGTCACACTGACTTCTTACTGCCTCTGCAGCGGAGAAGATGGAAGTAGGTAAGACTTCAGGCTAGATTAGATGAGCACAGAGTCCATCTATTCCCCTCTCTGCCTCTGACATTGATTCACTTTGACTTAAGACTCTGGATAACCTCATGAATCATAACCTAAACTGCAACCCTGTCCATTTTGCTGTAAACACCATGCTATTTTGATGGAGTGTAAGCTTTGGAGGCAATAGTCCTGGGGGGGAATAACATGTCTCTGTCTCTCCTGCCGTTCACAGTGAGTGTGTACACCTCCATTTTCGGAGTGCTGCAGCTGCTGTGTCTGATGACCGCTCCAGTGATCGGGTACATCATGGACTGGAAACTCAAAGAGTGTGAGGATGAGAACGCGAAGCCGGGCACAAGGTGAGTTTCACATGCACGAACGCACCCAAGCTCGCACACACAAACACACACACATAGACACACACACACACACTCCAAGAGCATTCCCCTGCCTCCCAGATACTCCCCTAGTATCCACAAGACATTTGTATTTCATATGTATAACCAGAGAGTATAAGTGTATACAGTTGAAGTCAGAAGTTTACATACACTTAGGTTGGAGTCATTAAAACTAGTTTTTCAACCACTCCACAAATGTATTGTTAACAAACTATAGTTTTGGCAAGTCGGTTAGGACATCTACTTTGTGCATGATACAATTAATTTTTCCAACAATTGTTTACAGACCGATTATTTCACTTATAATTCACTGTATCACAATTACAGTGGGTCAGAAGTTTACATACACTAAGTTGACTGTGCCTTTAAAGAAGCTTCTGATAGGCTAATTGACATCATTTGAGTCAATTGGAGGTGTACCTGTTGATGTATTTCAAGGCCCACCTTCAAACTCAGTGCCTCTTTGCTTGACATCATGGGAAAATCAAAATAAATCAGCCAAGACCTCAGAAAAAAAATTGTAGACCTCCACAAGTCTGGTTCATCCTTGGGAGCAATTTCCAAAAGCCTGAAGGTACCACGTTCATCTGTGCAAACAATAGTACGCAACTATAAACACCATGGGACCACGCAGCTGTCATACCCCTCAGGAAGGAGACACGTTCTGTCTCCTAGAGATGAACGTACTTTGGTGGGAAAAGTGCAAATCAATCCCAGAACAACAGCAAAGGACCTTGTGAAGATGCTGGAGGAAACAGGTACAAAAGTATCTATATCCACAGTAAAACGAGTCCTATATCGACATAACCTGAAAGGCCGCTCAGCAAGGAAGAAGCCACTGCTCCAAAACCGCCATAAAAAAGCCACACCACGGTTTGCAACTGCACATGGGGACAAAGATCGTGCTTCTTGGAGAAATGTCTTCTGGTCTGATGAAACAAAAATAGAACTGTTTGGCCATAATGACCATCGTTATGTTTGGAGGAAAAAGGGGGACGCTTGCAAGCCGAAGAACACCATCCCAACCGTGAAGCACGGGGGTGGCAGCATCATGCTGTGGGTGTGCTTTGCTGCAGGAGGGACTGGTGCATTTCACAAAATAGATTGCATCATGAGGAAGGAAAATTATGTGGATATATTGAAGCAACATCTCAAGATATCAGTCAGGAAGTTAAAGCTTGGTCGCAAATGGGTCTTCCAAATGGACCATGACCCCAAGCATACTTCCAAAGTTGTGGCAAAATGGCTTAAGGACAACAAAGTCAAGGTATTGGAGTGGCCATCACAAAACCCTGACCTCAACCCTATAGAAAATGTGTGGGCAGAACTGAAAAAGCGTGTGCGAGCAAGGAGGCCTACAAACCTGACTCAGTTACACCAGCTCTGTCAGGAGGAATGGGCCAAAATTCACATAACTTATTGTGGGAAGCTTGTGGAAGGCTACCTGAAACGTTTGACCCAAGTTAAACAATTTAAAGGCAATGCTACCAAATACTAATTGAGTGTATGTAAACTTCTGACCCACTGGGAATGTGATGAAAGAAATAAAAGCTGAAATAAATAATTCTCTCTACTATTATTCTGACATTTCACATTCTTAAAATAAAGTGGTGATCCTAACTGACCTAAGACAGGGAATTTTTACTAGGATTAAATGTCAGGAATTGTGAAAAACTGAGTTTAAATGTATATGGCTAAGGTGTTTGTAAACTTCCGACTTCAACTGTATTTAACATATGATGTCCCCTCTGATAGAGACCTTACCCAGCCCAAGCGTCGTGACAGACAGATCCAGAAGATCACCAACGCCACGCGGGCCTTCGTCTTCACCAACCTGCTACTGATGGGCTTTGGGGTCACCTGCCTCGTCCCCAGCCTCCCTCTCCAAGTAACTCATCCCTCTGTTTCCTCTCCTCCATCTCTCGCTCTCTTTCCTATCCTCTAAGAGCTGTGGAGAAGCACACATTTCACATTTCACTGCGTGTATCCCAGTGTTTTGTAAAGCCCTCCTAGACCCAAAGGGAGAAATCTTGGTGCAGTGAAAGAAAGAGGGAGAGGGACTCACATGTTATTGCAGCTGATCCATTGTTTAATGCAACAGTGTCCTCTGGTGGACAGAAGTGTCATTAGAAGTTATGCAAGTTATTTACAACCCAGTTCTGGGAACATCTCTGTCAAGCCATTATTTATTAAACATGGACTCCATTTTAGGAGGAAGGGACACGGCACCATGCGTGCCCTGGGCCTGTAGATTCTACAACACATCATGTTGAACTATTTGTTTTTCTCCTTTCTTCTCTGCTCTCAGATTCTATCGTTTATTCTACACACCATTGTGAGAGGATTCATCCACTCTGCGGTTGGAGGGCTGTATGCTGCTGTGTAAGTGTCTCAGGAGTGTGTGTGTGTGCGTGTGTGCGCAGTCCCCTCCACACAAGCACCTTATGCTGGTTGTCCTCCTTAGGTACCCGTCGTCTCAGTTTGGCAGTCTTACAGGCATGCAGTCCCTCATCAGCGCCCTGTTCGCCCTGCTGCAGCAGCCCCTCTTCATGGCCATGATGGGCCCCCTGAAGGGAGACCCCCTATGGGTAAGAGAGCAACGACCTTTCACCCTTCCCAGAGCTTACACAAATTACAGCACGCCTATTGCTCACTAATGTTGAAGACCCAAGTATACTAATGTGCTATAAGCATAATGCTGCAAAGGCTACTGTATTTGAGTGATGTGTAGCAGCCACCTTGTTCTAACGTAATCTGCCCAGAGTACACGGAAAAGCACATGCTACTGTCTCGATATGAAAACAACAGAGCCGTTTGCTCCTTTCTTCTGACTGATGATGTAACTTCCTGTGTGGGGTTGTGTGCAGGTTAACGTGGGCCTGCTGGGGCTGACGGTGCTGGGCTTCTGCCTGCCTCTCTACCTGCTCTGCTACAGCCGCCAGCTCCAACGCAAGAAGCAGGAGCGCGATGAGGACTCCAAGATCTACGTCCAGATCAACAACGGCAGCAAGCCCGAGGCCTTCGTCTAGAGAGAGATAATTTTTTTAACAAAGAGAAGCAGGAATGGAGAGTGTGAGGAGGGGAGAGGTCACAGGTGTGACTGAACTGTATGATGAATCACAACCCCACCCACCAACTCCGGTCCCTCAAACCGTCTGCACTTGCACTCAGACGATACTCTCTCTCACACACACACACACACACACACACACACACACACACACACACACACACACACACACACACACACACACACACACACACCACCATGCCCACTGCCAAACACACTCAGTCAAACCTACAGTATATGATCACAAATCTCAGAGAACTACTATGATAAACACACACACACTTTTACACTCCCCAACACATCATCGACTACGTACACTGTGAAAGAAACGCAACAACACACACGTTGTGAAACCTCTTCAACACACACATCAACGGTTCATTTTCCAGGGACACACCAGAAAACAGACATTGTTCTTCTTCTCACCACTGAAATGAGAAAGGTCTGTGAGCTGAGGAGAGAAGAAGAGGGAGGAGAATCTCTACGACTTTCTCCTCCCTTCCGGTCTCGTCTTTGTTTCATTTCTCTGTTGTTTTTTTATTTCATTTTTGTCAATGATGCCATGCTCACTCTTGCCTGCCTGTCAGTTCAAAAAGAGGACACTGGTTGCCGGTCGCCCTGCAAAAAGAACCAGAGAGGAAGCAAGCGTTCAACGCCATGTCGAAGACCTCCAGTGCGGAATGTGGTGACTTGAACCGGATAAGAAGATGACGTCCTTCTCACAATTATAATACTTCACCAGTGTTTTTACATGTGTTTTCAATGATGCCAGTAATGACGACGAGTATCGCCTCACTTTCTAATTCTGATCCAAGTTAGTCTCGTACTGCACTGGGGGTCTTCTACTTCACACCCTGAGAACTGGTTTTATGATTAGGACGTTATTGGAACGTTATTGAAACGTTATTGGCAATAGGTCTGTATTTGTCTCTGTGGTTGTTACATGTCAATGCCTCTCTATTGTCACAAGTGGTTTGGACTGGAGGTAGAAGTGAAACAGGTTGTATAGAAGTTTCAGTACACTAAATGGTGCTAAGAGTTCATACCGCCATAACATTCCCATTAGGTTCTATAACGTTGCCGTAACGTTGGGGATCGTCATCATTGTAAATTAATTGGTAAAAATGGAACCTCATGAAACCTTTAGAAGCTAGTCGATGTAATCTTCTCATCTAGCGAGTGTTTCTTCCAGTGTCTCAAAGAACAAACCTTGTGACTCAGTCTTCTAGTTTTGTTGTTGAAGACAACAGAGGTGTGGAGGGTCAAAGCCACAGAGAAGCTGTAGTTTTAAGACTGTTCAAACAGCTCTAGGGGAGACTAGAAAGCAAAGTTTTGTTTTTTGTAACACTCAGCGCTCTAGGTAAAAGCCTGAAGCGATAGCTGTGCTTTGAGCCCATTAGAGCTGAGAGTACATGATTAGACCAATGGGTTTCCAGTGTGCAGTGTGCGGGCCAGTGTTTTACTTCTAGACTTCTAGGGAATACTATGTGGCTGTGCTAGTGGTTGTGCTAGGGGCTGTGCTTGTGGCTGTGCTTCAAACAAAGCATGGCACAGGTTGAAACACACCTCTTACCAGTAATAATGTGCCACAACAACATAGGGTACAGCACAGTTACACTCTTAGAAAAAAGGGTTCCAAAAGGGTTTTTCGGCTGTCCCCATAAGAGAACCCTTTTTGGTTCCAGGTAGAACCCTTTTTGTTTGCAGGTAGAACCCTTTTGGACAGCCGAATAACCCTTTTAGGTTCTAGATAACACCTTTTTTTCTAAGCGTGTAGGCTAGGTTATCAAGCACCAATGCATGGTCCTATATCACCCTCACTGGATACACTGGCAGTACTGCTGACTGGTCTTGTCTTGGCAGTCCGTTTTGTAGTGCAAAATGAATTTCTTATTGACTTTGTGTGTTTTCTTTTTATTTGTGATTACCAGATTTTTTTGTGTCAGGAGATCTGGTTTTCAAAAAGTAATAGTTTTATCAACTGTATTTTACCTGCAATATGAAACTGACATACCGTTCAAGCTTTTGTTCTGTTTCAAGACAAATGTGATTTAGTACAAATGGTTTTACTAGAAATGGTTTTAGATAGATAGGAGATGTGTAGCATAAGGTGAACTGTGGTTGCTATGGGCCTATACCTGGCACTGTTCTACAGTACCTGAATTACACTGATGAATTTCAATTCTGATTCGCTGTAGCAATAAGTACTTATCTGAGTTGCTGAGCAATCCTCTACTCTTCCCGCCAACACATAACCCTATGAACAAACACTGTTGTCCAACCACACACATACATACACACACACAATGCAAGAATGTGGATTGATATAATGCAATGTTCATTACAGAGGTGCTTCTCAATGACAGGAACATATCTATCTATATATCTATGGTCTCACCTATCAAGCCTCACTTTGTAGTGACAAATTACTTGAATTATTGAATTCAAACTTGAACTTTGATTCACTTTTCGAATCAAAAACAGAGACAGAGAGATGCTTGAATATGATATCTGTTTCTAAATCCACATTCTTGCAGCTGTTGTGAATGGTGTGATAGTGGGACCCAGGTGGCGAGCAGGCAGATCATGATAGGACTTTATGTTCTTAAATGATCTGTTGCAGGTAACATACACTGGAGAGAGAGTGTGATAACTTGATTTGTGTAGTTCTATGTCCGCAGAAAAAAAGTATTTAGACTGGACGGGACTCCTGCTTTTGCTCAGTCACTCACAGAAGCACTTCCAAAGACAGCCATGCAAAGAGCAGATTGCCTCTCTATGTGCAGATGATTTGAGATGTGGATACGGCAAGTCTGTCACCCTCTCTCATCATGACCCATCACATTGATCCATCCATGTCCAAACCACTGTCCTGAACTGTTGCACTGACAGACCTGTTTCTCTACTGCAGTCTCACACAAACACAACCAACCACCCAAGAGATCCTTCACATACTGGTGATGGAACTGAGAGACAATGCTAGAATCGCCAAAAGCTTCATGAATGAAATAAGTGAGAACTGAATGGCACGTATGCACCTTAGTCCTCGTATCAGGATCGCAATGCTATTTTTCTGAATGGCCTGCACTGAAATATAACATAGACAGTGCACCGCTTGCTGGTTCTGCATGTTAGCATAGAATGTATTCCCAGTAATTTTTTTATTCATAGAGAAATGACATCGGAACTGCAAGAAACAATTATTTTTGTATTCAGTCAAAGTTACTTACCTCTGGTGGTCTTAGTCTCTCCTCTTGAATGCACCGTCCAGTAGGTCCCTGTCCCGCAATATAGAATGTCTCCTTGCTACTGACTGCTCTTTGGGCCTGTCTGTTTGGATCTCTCTGTTTCAAGGATCTACACACACACACACACACACACTGATAGAGAAACAGGTCTAGGCATCCTCAACATCCTTACTTTGAACATCACTCTACTTGTCGTTTACATCAATTTATTTTGTGCAGGGAGAAAAAAGAGTTGTGTGGAGCATGTAGTGTAGCCCTGGATAGACTGCTTCTAGTGGCTTGAATATATGACTAGAAATTGCAGGTGGATTCTGATAATGATGCTATACTGTACTCCAGCACAATGAATATGGGATTGGGATGATCTTCATTCCCTCAGTATGGGAGAATCAGCACTTTTTACACTGCCATACCTTAAACTGTCATTGTACTCAAAATGCCATCACCGTAGTTTTTTTCTAGATGTGATATACTTTTACTACTATCCCCTTCCCTGGGATGTAAAGTGTGATTGATTGACTGGTTATTCTCTAATGACGAAAGATGAGCAATGATTTTTGGATAGAAGGTTTAAATGATTGTGTGTCACTTTTAGACATTGAGTGGGAACTTCAGCTGAAACACCAATGCTTTTCCCTGACTTGTACCTTATTTTTTTTACTCAAATGTTTATTTTGTTGTTTTACATTCTCCTTTTTGGTGTTTGTTTCAATATGTATTTCATGTCTATATGCTGTATATTGGATCTCTGTTTTTGTCTTATCACATTATAGCCATCGTTATTGACATTATGAGTCATTGTCTAAATGAGAAAAAAAATCTATATATGAAAAAAATTTACATAAACAGATACATTTGTAAAATAAAGTGTCCGTTTGTAATTATTTGACCTTGTTTGACGTTTTTGCACGTTTCCTCAAAGTGTGGTGAATTGTCAATCACTCTTAATGCAAAATGTGTTAAATAACCTATATTATGAATGACATATCCCATGTTACAGCTGTGTGCAATATAATGGACAGAAGAAAGCATGGACAGTCTGTTTACAGTGGAGGAAGCCTGCAGATGCTGCCTCGCTACTGCTGTCATTCCTAAATCCAACCACCCTAGGGGGAAATTACATTTTTCAGGGTTAGGCTATTGTAGGTTTAATATTAGCCACATTTTTGCAGTCAGGAGGAGTTACATTAGTCATGGCTGTAATGGCTGGCAACTTTCCGAAAAGAAAAGGGGGCTTTACTGATAAAGGAGATGTTTAATTATAAAGTCCAATAATGCTGTTTTAAGAGTCTTGAGTCTCCACCAGAGGACAGGCTATTACAGTTTACTACGACACCAAAACTCAGTTTCCCAATTTAAACTATTTAGTGTTGGGTATCCTTAACACACCAATTAAGAGAGTTGGAGTAAGAGCTGGATGTTTCTGGTGCAGAACACTTTAAGTGATACCTAAAAAAGAACAACATGGTCCAAAAAAACATTTAGGCATTTTAGATGATTGCTTGATCACTGGGGATTAATTGCTGTCGGGTAATTAAAGTAAACATTACCATTCAAGTGAAAAGCATAATACTGTAACATTGTATGTTTTGAACTCTCATCTAAAATCATAATGGTAATGGGAGTGTTTCACACATGTACAGCAGGGGAGGCTGGTGGGAGGAGCTATAGGAGGACAGGCTCATTGTAATTGTTGTTATGTAATAAATGGAATGGAGTCAAATGTGGTTTCCATATGTTTGATGGGTTTGATACCATTACATTTATTCCATTCCAGCCATTACAATGAGCCTGTCCTCCTATAGCTCCTCCCACCAGCCTCCTCTGATCAAATCAAATCAAATCAGCAGATGTCACAAAGTGCTATACAGAAACCCAGCCTAAAATCCCAAACAGCAAGCAATGCAGATGTAGAAGCACAGTGGCTAGGTTCCTCCCTAGAAAGGCAGGAACCTATGAAGAAACCAAGAGAGGAACCAGGCTCTGAGGGGTGGCCAATCCTCTTCTGGCTGTGCCGGGTGGAGATTATAAAAGTACATGGCCATTAAGGCCAGATTGTTCTTCAAGATGTTCAAATGTTCATAGATGACCAGTAGGGTCAAATAATAATCACAGTGGTTGTAGACGGTGTAACAGGTCAGTACCTCAGGAGTAAATGTAGAATGCAGATGTAGAAGCACAGTGGCTAGGTTCCTCCCTAGAAAGGCAGGAACCTATGAAGAAACCAAGAGAGGAACCAGGCTCTCAGGTCAGCACCTCAGGAGTAAATGTCAGTTGGCTTTTCATACCCGAGCATTCAAAAGTCGAGACTGCAGGTGCGGTAGAGAGAGAGAGAAAGAGAGAGAGTCGAAAACAGCTGGTCCAGGACAAGGTAGCACGTCCGGTGAACAGGTCAGGGTTCCATAGCTGCAGGCAGAACAGTTGAAACTGGAGAAGCAGCACGACCAGGTGGACTGGGGACAGCCAGGAGTCTTCAGGCCAGGTAGTCCTGAGGCATGGTCCTAGGGCTCAGGTCCTCCGGGAGGGGAGGGAGAGAGGGAGAGAGAGAGAATTAGAGGGAGCATACTTAAATTCACACAGGACACCAGATAAGACAGGATAATTACACCAGATATAACAGACTGACCCTAGCCCCCCTGCACATAGACTGTTGCAGCATAGATACTGGAGGCTGAGACGGGGGGGGTCGGGGGACACTGTGGCCCTGTCCGACGATACCCCCGGACAGGGCCAACCAGGCAGGATATAACCCCACACACTTTGCCAAAGCACAGCCCCGACACCACTAGAGGGATATCAACAGACCACCAACTTACTACCCTGAGACAAGGCTGAGTATAGCCCACAAAGATCTCCTCCACTGCACAAGTCCGAGGGGACGCAAAACCGGACAGGAAGATCACGTCAGTGACTCAACCCACTCAAGTGACGCACCCCTCCTAGGGACGGCATGGAAGAACACTAGTAAGCCAGTGACTCAGCCTCCGTAATAGGGTCAGAGGCAGAGAATCCCAGTGGAGAGAGGGGAGCGGCCAGGCAGAGACAGCAAGGGCGGTTCGTCGCTCCAGTGTCTTGCCGTTCACCTTCGCACCCCTGGGCCAGACTACACTCAATTATAGGACCTTCTGAAGAGATGAGTCTTCAGTAAAGACTTAAAAGTTGAGACTGAGTCTACGTCTCACATGGATAGGCAGACCATTCCATAAAAATTGAGCTCTATAGGAGAAAGCCCTGCCTCCAGCTGTTTGCTTAGAAATTCTAGGGACAATAAGGAGGCCTGCATCTTTTGACAGTAGCGTACGTGTAGGTATGTACGGCAGGACCAAATCGAAGAGATAGGTTGGAGCAAGCCCATGTAATGCTTTGTAGGTTAGAAGTAAACCTTGAAATCAGCCCTAGCCTTAACAGGAAGCCAGGCTAGCACTGGAGTAATAGGATCACATTTTTTGGTTCTAGTCAAGATTCTAGCAGCTGTATTTTGCACTAACTGAAGTTTATTTAGTGCTTTATCTGGGTAGCCGGAGAATAGAGCATTGCAGTAGTCTAATCTAGAGATGAAGTCAGCATAGGTGGTTGACAATAGTAGCATACACAGTTTCATGTTGCTCCTGACCTGACCTTGATAGCAGAATAAGGTAGGTCTTGAATGGATGGGTTCTTTGTGTTGCTTATTGAAGGCTGAGCCACTGGTTTGACTTGCTGGGGTTGCTACTAACCGGTTCCAACAGACCAACACAAAAAAACACAGGGTGTTACTCGGTTCACCCTCCACCAACTGTCACAGCTAAGAAGTCTGAATGAGGAGTGAAATTGGGAGGACTGGAATAACATTTGGTCTCAGTGAAACTGAACCACTGTGACAGGTGAAACAACTTACAAACCAATGCACTTCATAAAAAAAACAAAAAACATTTGACCTAGGTAGATTGGAGGTGTGGTCGCCACCAGGACGCCGCGCCCCTTTCGGCGTCTGTCAGGAAGTGAATTCAAGAAAACTAAGAGCGCAAAACCGCGGAGACCGTGGGGCGCAGACAGACAAAAATACTGCCGCCCGATTTAGAGTTTTTACCAGTAAACTGAATCTGAATGCTGCAGATACACGGACAACACTGCAAGAATGCTCATTAAAGAATTGTAAGTAAAAATGTTTGGAAAGATATGCTGTTTAGTCAAAGCGTGTTACGTAGGAGAACGGCAAAATTGGCAAAATTCCTTGCGTGACATTTATCCTGCTCTATTCGTTAATAGTATTTTCTCTGTTAGTCTAGTATAACCTATTTACTATTTGGGAATTCGAAAAACACCTGTGAAAACTGGTATTTTATCTGTGTTTTATCATTGCGTAAAATGTTAAGTTTGTCAATGGAGAGGGCTATTGACTGCTTGTTGCCTGTGTCCTCCCTGTATTGACTGTATGGATAGACTCATTGAATGAATGCATCAAGTAAAATAATAATTAACAACACGGAAATGTATTGTCAGGTTACCAAAATTATTGAATTCTCTGACAAAGTACCACTGTAACATTGTAACCATAACTTGAATTCTAATCATCCCATCCTCAGGCCTACTAAAACACATACAAGGGTGTGCCTTTATCTAAAATCCAAAGTATACACTTGCGTGACATGTCATCTAACTCATTGGTTACTAGAGCCAACAACTGCCATATCAACATGACAGCTAGATGCCCCAAAACCTGCCTGTATCAATACAGAATAATTAGTATGGTGCCTGTCTGGGCTCCCATTACACCCAGATCTGTTATAATGAAATATTCAGGGATGCTTAGACTGGGAACAGGTGGTGATTATTGCCTATTGTTGACTGGCAGAGGACAGGGCCAAACCTAATTGTTTTCTGATAGTAGAGATCTACATCGGGCTTCAATTTCCTCCATGACAATATTTCAGCTAGCATCAGTAGCACGTTCAGGCTTGCAATATTCATAGTTGGAAGGTAGAGCTGGGAAATATGGTCAAAAATCCATAACACGATACATTTCCTGACTTGACGCGATAACGATAAATAGAACATTAATGTGCACCACTTTTTTTTTTTAAATATTCTTTAAACTACTACTACTAGTTTGATGGTTGTAGCTATCAATTGTCCCATTAACAATCACCCATATTAGCAAACTCATTTTATTTTAAAGTTAACATTTCTCTAGTATAGGCTACTTATCGTAATGAACAATATAAGCAAAATGCCTGCGATAAGTGATCGGTCCGTATGGATTATTTTTGGTTTATCGTCCCAGCTCTATTAGACTAAACGGGTTTTGATTAGCCTACTCTTAACAGTTGCTATCAGAGAATTGTCAGTCAAACTAATAAATCAAATGATAAATTAGATGAGCAATAACATTAGTCATGAGCTGCAGGTGTAGTTTGTGTTTAAATGTGTTGTGATGTTGCGCTCTCTCTCTTCTAGTCGAGTCATCCTCCCCATATCTGTGGAAGAAGTAAGTACTGACTGAGTGTCATTTCTTTGTCTTAAACTCTTGCTTCATGTCACAAATCAAGCTGGTTAAGCTACATTCTCGTTTTCTGATGCAACCGTCAAATTGAGCTCAACCATTACCTAGCCCCATGAATGTGCCCATTACACCAGCGGAACATTCATGGGGCTAACCCATTACCTAGCATGCCTATGCTCTTGAGGAATCAGGGCAGTCTATATGTCAATCAGTTTGTCTGCATTATGTTCCTCTAATCTTGAAGTTCCTGTTTGTACACACACCTTTTAATGATAGTGTGTGTGTGTGTGCGCGTGCGCGCAGGCAGTTGGCATGGTTTCCATTACGTTCACATTGGCAGCATATTGGTTGCAGTGGTTGTTAGCCAGCCACACACAGCCACGTTCATTAAAACAGAGCACCTTATTCCGACTGAAGCTTTGCAGTTGAAGTCATTAGTTGTGGGTCATTCCATGTCATTTCAGCAAGCCATGACACCCACCATCTCAGATTGTTCTGAAATCGTTTCTGTAATTAGAAACAGATAAGATTAACATTCCTGCAACATTATTTTGTTGAAATATAATTTGATCTCTGAGAAATTAAGCTAATTGATTGCACCCAAATTGGCCAATGTAATTATAGGATTCATATAATCTTCAATAAATATAGTACCTGACATCCGATTTGGACCAAACTTTTTTCTAACAATGTGTAAGACAGGAGGAATCCAAATAAATGGTCAACAGCCACCCACGACCCCCCACACCCCACGCCAATCCCAACCCAGTATCAGTTCTCAATGTCTGTAGTAGTATGGAGCTGCGGCTCTGAGTATTGTTTCTTCATCCTATGTAATGTATTCTTAGTGAATTTGGTGATGTTATTTTTCACCCTGTTCAGAGAAATTTGTCATTGAAGTTGTTAGGTTTATGGCCCATCCTACATCCTGATATTACCAGGTTCTGACCACTAGATTGTGCTGTTCCTGCTATTTGGTGAAAAAAGTTTGAAGGACTTGTTAAAGGGATAGTTCACCCAAATAACAAAATTACATGGGTTTCCTTACCCCGTAACCAGTTTATTGACAAAGTATGACAGCAAGGAATGCTAATCATTAGTGCTGAGCGATTAACCGAACTAATTTACTGATTATTTGAATTCCATTTTGTTCCGTTTATTTCTGTGAGCACAATGCGCACATTGTGCTACAGTTTCTCTAGAGATAAATCAGATCATGCCCCAACTGTGTGTCGTAATAGGGAATTGTAGTTTCCAAAAGGCCAATGTTCTACTGGTGATTTGCAGGATGTGCAATGATACAAGTAAAAGGAGGGCTGTGTTTGGTCAAATTGCCTACTATGCCAATTTCTCTGTATAAAATGGGCCATACCTTTAAAACTTCCTCGGCCAGCCTGAGGAAGATGGCCAGATGAGTCACACACTCTTAGGGGGACAATAGGTGAAACACTGGTTTTACACGTGTTGTCACATTCCTAACCACCCACTCGCGCATGAGATGGAGCCACCAAAATCAATCTATTTGGTAGAGGACTTGATTTTACCCCCTCTTCCTCCAAACAGAGCTGTTTCACCTGTTGAAAGCATCTCATCAAATCAGCCCGGTACGAACTACCAACCATACACACTGCACTTAAAACGCCACCACTGGCGCACTAATGCCCTTTAACTGGAGGGTTAGTCTGTGATTTAATTGTCAGTTGGCTGTTGGTTGCTGAGTAGTGTCAATGTGCAGCAAGCGAGTCACCAGTTCCCTGTGAGTCACTAGCTCCCTGACACACAGTGGCCGCATTCCAGGACAACTTTATTGCAGTCACGCTCCATACAGCAACCAATGGTTGCGTGCCACGTCATCGACTGCTGCTGGGTGACTCAAGGCCTGTGCTGGTGGATGGACGGGGTGTGCTGCCTAGGCTGGGACAGCAGAGTTGGAGACGGTAATCCACCTGCCAAAGGTCTTTGACAGAGCACTACATCCTCACATCACTGGCGAGCAGCCAATGAGGGAATTGTTGGCAGAGAGACTGTCATCTGGAAAAGAAACTGCCACAGAGGGCTATTAGAGTATGTTCCTTATGCTTGCTGACAGTCCTGTTATCCTGTTAAGCTGTTATGCTGAAGTCAGTGTCTGTCTGGGCTAAATGCGCAAGGAACACACAGTGGTGGAAACAGAAAACTGTCCCAGTCCAGGTGCTCTGAGGAGTGAATGGTCAGGGATGTGTATGTGGGGAACTGAGTTAATACAATCCCCCTTGTTCATGAATTAATGTCCCTCACATTTGTGCCCACTGAAATGGCTACAGCTGTCTGTTAATGCAACTGGTGAACAATGGGGATTATTTTGTCTGTGTAACTGTAGCTCACTCCTGTCTTCCTCTTCACAGTACCAAGTAGGGCAGCTGTACTCTGTGGCTGAGACCAGTAAGAATGAGACGGGTGGAGGAGAAGGGGTGGAGGTGCTAAAGAATGAACCCTATGAGAAGGACGGAGAGAAGGGCCAGTACACCCACAAGATATATCACTTGCACAGGTACGATTGGTCCATCTATCCATCCATTTATCTATCTACTCACTTACTCCCATCCACTCACCCAACCACCCACCCACACCACCCAATGGTACAGTATACAGTGGGGAAAAAAAGTATTTAGTCAGCCACCAATTGTGCAAGTTCTCCCACTTAAAAAGATGAGAGAGGCCTGTAATTTTCATCATAGGTACACGTCAACTATGACAGACAAATTGAGAAAAAAAAATCCAGAAAATCACATTGTAGGATTTTTAATGAACATGTTTCAGTCCGTTTTCTTCCATTTACTGCCTTAAGAGTATGACCCTGCTGTGTCTGGGTTTAGAACAGTAAGAGAGTTTAAAGCATGCTTATTACTAATAATAAGTTGTTACTACATTAACACTGATCCATCACTGCTCTCACCTTGGCATCCACTTGGGCTTTGTCAGCGATGTCAATGTAGACTACTTCAGCCTTCTTCCATTGCTCTGGGTCTAGTCCGTGCACCTAGAAAAGGTGTAATGATCATGCTGTTTAATCAGCTTCTTGATATGCTACACCTGTCAGGTGGATGGATTATCTTGGCAAAGGAGAAAAATGCCTGCTAACAGGGATATAAACAAATTTGTGCCAACAATTTGAGAGAGATTCGTTTTTTTGTGGGTATGGAACATTGCTGGGATTTTTTAAATTCAGCTCATTAAACATGGGACCAACACTTTACATTGCGTTTATATTTTTGTTCAGTGTATATCAAATTCAACCGTTTATCTTTTTCAGTGATGAAGATATGGATCTCTCATGGTAGGGTGGGTTATACAAATAGAGGGAACTTTGAGCACCTCTATCTCCTGAATGTTTTGGCATTTGGGTCCAAAAAGTCACTTTCTCACCACTTCTACCATGGGCAATCAAAGGTGTGGAAAGTTTTGTTCAATTGGGTGCGGTGGGTGTGGTCAAAAAGTGATTGAATTCAAATGGATCGACCCTATGATAATAACTATCTTACTTTCTCTCTGTAGTAAAGTGCCAAACTATGTGCGCATTCTGGCACCATCAACTGCTCTTAACATCCACGAGAAGGCCTGGAATGCTTACCCCTACTGTCGGACCGGTAAGTCCCCTGCTCTTTGTTACCTACCCCTTCTGTAGAGAGAGAAGATGTTGAATAATTAACTCTGGCATACATGCTAGCAGCCAGCACTGTGAGGACATGCTATTGGAATCTATGTCATTTATGGACCAATAGCCAGACATTGGGTATTAATAGTGTATATACACAACTTCTCAGTTCGGTTGGCAGGGAGTTTCAAACGTGCAACTATTGAGATATTATTTTGAAAACATCTGTTCCCCTAAACATTGTTTACTCTCTCTGTCTCCTGATGTCCATCTCTTCCCCTATTGCAGTTATTACAGTAAGTACTGTTTTCTACTATACATTTACATATACAGTATGTTGCTGTTTACTAGCACACTATTCAGCTGTAAACACGGTGAAAGAGGAGCTGGTAACCTGTCAAAAGGAAAGGAGAGAAGCAGATGGGGCTGACTTAACACAGAGAAAGACTGACACTCATTTTGCCAGGGTCTACGTGTGTGTGTGTGTGTGTGTGTGTGTGTGTGTGTGTGTGTGTGTGTGTGTGTGTGTGTGCGCGCACGCATGTGCACAAGCATTTCGCTACACCCGCAATAATATCTGCTAAACACGTGTATGTGACAAATAAAATTTGATTTGATGTGCCTCTTTCAGCTGTTATTACCAGTACCACTGCTCTTAGCTGATGTATCCCTTAAGTTGTAATCACGAACAGTCCATATATTACAGTGTCAGTTTTAGACCTAGGTTCAAATACTATTCGAAATCTTTCAAATACTTTGAACGTTTGATCTAGCCTACCTAGATTGTCAGATGGGTGGCGTTTACATCTAAGGGACTATTCTATTGATTGATTAAGCCAGGCATGCTCAATCAAGCACAGATAAAGTATTTTACATGATTTCAAATAGTGTTTGAACCCAGTATGTGTTGGTCACTTGAGATTCATCTTGTTCATCTTATTTATTGCTCTTCCTTCGTCCCGCAGAATGAATACATGAAGGACAATTTTCTGATTAAAATTGAGACGTGGCACAAGCCCGACATGGGGGATCAGGACAATGTGAGTGAGCAGCTAATTGAATGAGTCTGAATGGATACCATGTCAAATATGGACCACCAGCACATCTAATTCAGTTAGCAGACGTAACTAGTCCTTTAATTTGACTATTTCCCCTTTTACTCAATCCCCCATCTATCAGACTCTTCCATTGACGTCATTTCAGACACTTAATTCCACTGACGTCATTTGTGTCCGTCCACTGACTTTATGAAAGGATACAGAAACCCTTCTCATGTGTGCATTTTTTGTTCTAAGACCTGCTTTGTTGGATATGACACTGAATCAACATTTACACATAATGTATCAAAGTGCTATGTTATCAGGTTTGGGGTCAATTCTCTTTCAATTCAATTTCCCTGAATTGAGTGCATTGAAATTGGCCCCAACCCTGCATGTTTTACCTGGTCTATGTAGTGACTACTAGTGAGGCATTCTTAGCTCTTGAAGTGGGTAACTTACTATAAATGATTCCCTGCATAGGTGCACGGACTAGACCCAGAGCAATGGAAGAAGGCTGAAGTAGTCTACATTGACATCGCTGACAAAGCCCAAGTGGATGCCAAGGTGAGAGCAGTGATGGATCAGTGTTAATGTAGTAACAACTTATTATTAGTAATAAGCATGCTTTAAACTCTCTTACTGTTCTAAACCCAGACACAGCAGGGTCATACTCTTAAGGCAGTAAATGGAAGAAAACGGACTGAAACATGTCCAATAGAAATTCCCTTACCGAGAAAGCAGGCTTCTGGCAAACAGTTGTGGCAAATCTTTGGCCAATTTGCCTCAAATTTGCGGCCAGCTCATATTTTCAAATGAAATGAGTTTTGTGGCAAACTTTTGCTACAAATTTGCGGCGACTTGTGAACTTCTGGCAAACAATTCTGGGAAACTTGTGGTGAACATTCTACTGTTTGCTGCAAATTTGCTTCAAACTGATTATGAATATGCAAATTAGATCAGGTTTTTGGTTACTTTGTGTATTAACAACATTGAAATGTTGTATCTACATAAACCAAATCACATACACATTCTCACAGAGAGCTAAACATACTAAATGTACTACAGTGCCTTCAGAAAGTATTCACACCCCTTGACTTTTTCCACATTTTGTTGTTACATAGTGGGATTAAAATTAATTTAATTGTCATTTTTGTCAATGATCTACACAAAATACTCTGTCAGTGGAAGAAAAGTGTAAAAAAAAAATCATGAAAAATAAAACCCTAATACTGTATATCTTGATTAGAAAAATATTGAATCCCCTAAGTCAATACATGTTAGGATCACCTTTGGCAGCGATTACAGCTATGTCTTTCTGGGTAAGTCTCTAAGAGCTTTCCACACCTGGATTGTGCAACATTTGCCAATTTTTATTATTTTCGAAATTCTTCAAGCTCTTTCAAATTTTGTTGTTGATCATCGCTAGACAACCATTTTGAGGTCTTGCCATAGATTTTCAAGCAGATTTAAGTCATCCATCTCCAAAAGTGAAGTTTTGCCTTGATGTCAAATCAGCTCATGTTGTTGCTACTTTAGCTGTTGTGGTAGCTAACATGCTACTGAACAGTGAAACTAGCATATTATTATATATTATTATTAGCATTTTATTGGTATTAGCTAAAAGACCGCAACGTATTCACCTAAAAATATAAGTTCGCTAGCTAGCTATCACATAAATTGTGCAAAATATGATAGCTATCATTATCACTAAGCACTAGCCACTAGCTCGCTATGCGCTAACCGCTAGCTAGCCAGTTAGTGCTGCTGACAGATTGATCTGATCTAGCTAGCTAGCAACAAAATGTGTTTCACTGTATCCCACAAAACATGACATTGCTTACCAGGCATCAATTAGCTTACACAATTTTTAAGTTTATTAGGAAGTTTAATAAGTTAAGACACTCACCGGACGACTTTGGTAGGTAGCTAGATAGCTTGGTTTCCATTTTCCAACAGATTTTTCTTCTTCCCTCTGACTGGTCGTCATCAACGGTTACTGGTCTTGGAACTCAATGTTTACCAGAAATGGCAACAATATTTATACAGGTTTTCCCTTAATGTCTATGGGTTTGCCACAGATTCAAATACAATCTTGAGCTAATTGTTTGCCAGAAAAAACCTCTGGCAAACTGTTTGCCACTATTGGCAATAAATATTATTGTTGCCAAAGGTTTCCCGCTGATTCAGCACTAGTGGCAAACATTTGCAAACTTCTGGCAACATTTTGTGGCAAGTTTGCCACAATTGTTTTTGTAAGGGTTAACACTTGTCTTCATTTTCTTTAGCGAAATGTTCCACTACATTTTGTTACAGTGTGCACTAATGAATATGACCCAGTTACCTGAACAGAATTAAATAGAACACTGATGTTATCTTTGCATCCTACGGATCTGCTCACTCTGCTCCACACAGGACTATAAGCCAGAAGAAGATCCTGCCATATTCAAGTCAGAGAAGACCGGCAGGGGCCCCCTGGGGCCTAACTGGAAGGTACTACCCAAACCAATATTCCAACGTTGTTGTCATATTTTTCAAATCAGCTAATTTCACACGTAGCTGTGTCCAGAGTCAAACAGTGTACTTAGAGAGTTGGGCCAGTGCGGTTTTTGTCTGACCGTTCCAAGAGCGCCAATTTCACCTCCATAGTCGTTGCTAAGTGATAATTGATGCTTCTGCATTGTGCTGTTTATTTCTGATGGTTTTCCAAACCTATGAAGATGTCCAGTGAAAGCAGATATGCAATTTGTTGAGACCACAACACAGTACCAACTTGGATACACATTGTCCCAAATGCTAATTAGTAAAAACGTCAGTAAAATTAGCTTTACTGTTCTGCTTGTCGGAGGCGCTATCTTATTGTCACATCACCCAAATTTCGAGAATAAAGGCGCCAACATGGCGTCCGTTCTAAAATCTGTCCGGAACTTTACTGTATGGCTCAGGCTGTATCTATTATCGTTCGGAATCACCATCATTATGTGTGTTGTGAACTATTCTGCCTCTGCCTGAGGGTGTAATAACTTTGTCTTTACCTCTGCAGAAAGAGCTTCCCAGCAACACAAACTCTCCTCACATGTGTGCCTATAAGTTAGTCACAGTCAACTTCAAATGGTGGGGAGTCCAGAACAAAATTGAGAACTTCATCCATAAGGTACAGTAAGAGAAAGAGACTTGTCAATTATTCCAGTATTTGCATAATATTCTGTTATGGTGCCTTCATATCACCCACTGTACATGTAAAAAATGACTCCGCCCTGAAACCGTGAAGAAGAAACTAGTAGACAGATTTGGCTGAGGAATAAGAAATCCAAAGCTGTGCAGTCTCTCTGGGTGTGACCAGGGGCGGTGTGTTCATTAGGGCGATATGGGCGACGCACTGCCAAACGGGAAAAGCAAGGGATTTTTTTTCTAATCAATTATATCACGGCAACAGTAGTTATCAGTGTTCTAATCTAGACGTCTGATCTGCCACTAAATGTCCAATCAGGCTAAAGTCATGCTTCAAATGGCCCCGCCCGTTTTGGGGCGATTTCAGTCAGGTTGAAAATCGCCCAGAAGTCTCTCATAGCCTCTAATGTAAAATCAATTTTTTTCAAATATCAGAGCTTTCAATACAATCTCTATGGGTTTCTGAGGGCTTGCACTTACGCGCTTTCGTCATACGTAACATAACCATGAACGTAACTAAGAAAAGAGCGGGTAGCAGCGTCAATCAATTCACGTACTACTATCAAGATGGCTAGCGTTCAGTGCAACTCGATTGTCTCTTTGAAAGAAGTTCACATCAAAGACCATTCAAAACGAGCTACTGGAGTGTATGCTAGCGGTCATGAGGGAACATATTGTGGAGGAGGTGAAGTCGGCGAACTTCGTAGCTATCCAAGCTGACGAGACCACGGACGTTTCTACACAGACACAGCTGGTGCTGAGGTACATAGATAGCAACCACAAAGTGCAGGAGCGCTTTTTTGAGTTCCTTCCCATCTCGGAATCAACCTCAGTCTCAATCGCCAGTGTGCTTTTGGAGAGACTGAACGGTCTTTTTGCCGACGACGAGAAAGTCAAACTCATTGCGCAAGCTTACGATGGAGCCAGTGTGATGAGGCGAGAGAAGGCTGGTGTGCAGCAAAAGGTACGTGAGCATTTCAAGAATGCCCATTACGTGCATTGCTATGTGCATCAGCTGAATTTTATCATGCAGCAAGCTACTTCTCGCATCAAAAAAGTAACTAGTAAACTAGTCCTCAGCATGCCTGATTTCAATGAGAAAGTCATTGACCGCTTTGCTGCATTGAAAGAGAGAAGAGAACAGTTTCAGTACAAGTAATGTAGCCTCTCTCTCTCTTTGTCCCTCCCTGTCTGTCTCTTTAACACACACACGCCCAAATCAGTTCACAGTTGATGTTGTTTAAAATAGTTATTTTTCATTAAAAAAAAAGTAAAACTTTTTTTTTACAAATCTATACAATTGGCCAGAATATGGTTGTTCATATTTACAAATCTATACAATTGGCCAGAATATGGTTGTTCATTTTTACAAAGCCATACAGATAGCTGTGTTTACCTTTTCTAGAAATTATTTTCAAATTCTGTTTTCAGGCAAAATGTCTATCACTGTTCATTTTCACAAATCTATACAAGAGGGTAGAATATGGAAGTCTATAAAAATTTCCTATTACCAATAACTTGCATCAATGTTTTCAGTAGCCTCTATCAAAAGCTCCTGCTTGCTTGTTGTGAATTATGCTCAGGTGCACATATTTCCAATTCAACCATGAGGCCTTTTTGAAGCAAGTAATGTGTATATCAGTATTGACTTATATGCTGCCCCTGTCTTCATGTTGTTGCTGGACATATCTTTTTTAAAATGTGTGTAGGTCACCTAAATCATCAGAAAAATTGCCCCCCCTGAGAATTTTTTCAGGAGCCGCCACTGGGTGTGACTAAAGGCTAGTTTACAGTAAAGGCAAAAAATGGTTTTCTGTCCTCTAGTGGACACAGTGATTTGCCATAGAAATGTTACTCCAATTTGCACATAATAAATGCTGATATTACTCATATTTGTTCTATGTAATTGTTTTGTCTAATTTCTTCCCCTCTTTGATTTCCAGCAAGAGAAGCGATTGTTTACGAAGTTCCACAGACAACTGTTCTGTTTGATTGATAAATGGATCGGATTGACAATGGAGGACATTCGACGTATCGAAGAGGAGACCCAAAAAGAGCTGGATGAGGTAATGTACTGTACATTTGTTTGGTCTTTGGCATCAATTAACTCCGAATGAGATGTGCTGCTGTCTTATCAGTTTTGTCATTAGGCTGCGGAAATTTGCTAAATGCTTTGTTGTTGTCCTGGATATCCTACTTATTGATGTGGCTTTGTGTGTGTGTTTGTCTGTCTGGCTCTGTCTGTGTGTGTCTTTCAGATGCGGGAGAAGGATCCAGTCAAAGGGAGTTCTGCTTCAGAGGACTGAGGCTGTGCAGCTGTGACCGTGAGTACCGCTCTGTCTGCGAGACTGAGTTCAGGGCTGTGTTCAGGGTCGCTTTAAAGCGATTTGCAACAGAAAACAATAATGAGCGTTTCTTATTGAACAAGTCCAGGTAGTCCCTCCCTGTATAAGTTAATTTTCTTCCGCTTGGAACCTAACGAACATGACCCATGACACGAGGAGCTCAGGTTGTGCACCTTACCCCACATGACTCAGCTACCGTGTTATCAGTGTTATAGTGTAATCGCTCCCATCTCATACTCTATATCAGGGTTCCCCAATTGGCGGCCCAAGGCCGAATTTGGCCTGCATTTTATTTTATTTGGCCCCCAAAGTTTTCTGAGCAAGAAAAAAACTTTTCTAAATTTATTTTTTATTGTTGGACATAAAAGACTGTAAAATCAACAGAAAATCAGCTCCAAGTGATTTTAATTTTGGAAATCTGTTCCAAAGTATTCCCACGCATAATAGCGAGATATACTTTATGTGATCGTATACAAATGTAAGCAAGGTTTGAAATTATTATGTTTTAGTCAAATATATTATTTTCGGGTTTCATTTTTAGTCTACACATTATTTGTAATTAGCCTCCCGAGTGGCACAGCGGTCTAAGGCACTGCATCACAGTGCTTGAGGCGTCACTACAGACCCGGGTTCGATCCCAGGCTGTGGCGCGACCGGGAGACCCATGAGACGGCTCACAATTGGTCCCAGCGTCGTCCGGGTTAGGGGAGGGTTTGGCCGGATGTCCTTGTCCCATCGCGCTCTAGCGACTCCTTGTGGCCGGGCACATGCACGCTGACTTCGGTCTCCAGTTGTACGGTGTTTCCTCCGACACATTGGTGCGGCTGGCTTCCGGGTTAAGCAAGCAGTGTGTCAAGAAGCAGTGCGGCTTGGCAGGGTCGTGTGGCTCTCGACCTTCGCCTCTCCCGAGTCCGTACGGGAGTTGCAGCGATGGGACAAGACTGTAATTACCAATTGGATAGCGCGAAATTGGGGAGAAAAAGGGGTACAAATAAATGTTTACACTTTAGCTACGGTATTGAGATTATCAATGACTTCCATGTCTGATGTGTGAACACACTACCGGTCAGAAGTTTTAGAACACCTACTCATTCAAGAGTTTTTCTTTATTTTTTACTATTTTCTACATTGTAGAATAATAGTGAAGACATCAAAACTATGAAATAACACATATGGAATCATGTAGTAACCAAAAAAGTGTTAAATAAATCAAAATATATTTAAATTTGAGATTCTTCAAATAGCCACCCTTTGCCTTGATGACAGCTTTGCACACTCTTGGCATTCTCTCAACCAGCTTCATTTCAATTAACAGGTGTGCCTTCTTAAAAGTTAATTTGTGGAATTTCTTTCCTTCTTAATGCGTTTGAACCAATCAGTTGTGTTGTAACAAGGTAGGGGGGCGGGGGGTATACATAAGATAGCCCTATTTGGTAAAAGACCAAGTCCATATTATGGCAAAAACAGATCAAATAAGCAAAGAGAAACGATAGTCCATCATTACTTTAAGACATGAAGGTCAGTCAATACGGAAAGTTTCAAGAACTTTGAAAGTTTCTTCAAGTGCAGTTGCAAAAACCATCAAGCGCTATGATGAAACTGGTTCTCATGAGGACAGCCACAGGAATGAAAGACCCAGAGTTACATCTGCTGCTAGTAACTCTAAAAAAAAATGTGAGTTACTAGCCTCAGAAATTGCAGCCCAAATTAATGCCACAGACACATCTCATTAAAAGTCACAGACACATCTCATTCTCAACTGTTCAGAGGAGACTGTGTGAATCAGGCCTTCATGGTCGAATTGCTGCAAAGAAACCACTACCAAAGGACACCAATAAAAAGAAGAGACTTGTTTGGGTCAAAAAACACGACCAATGGACATTAGACCGGTGGACATTTTTCCTTTGGTCTGGAGTCCAAATTGGAGATTTTTGGATCCAACTGCCGTGTCTTTGTGAGACGTGGTGTGGGTGAGCGGATAATCTCTGCATGTGTATTTCCCACCGTAAAGCATGGAGGAGGAGGTGTTATGGTGTGGGGGTGCTTTGCTGGTGACACTGTCTGTGATTTATTTAGAGTTCAAGGCACACTTAACCAGCATGGCTACCACAGCATTCTGCAGCGATACGCCATCCCATCAGGTTTGGGCTTAGTGGGACTATCATTTGTTTTTCAACAGGACAATGACCCAACACACCTCCAGGCGGTGTAAGGGCTATTTTACCAAGAAGGAGAATGATGGAGTGCGGCATCAGATGACCTGGCCTCCACAACCAAATTGAGATGGTTTGGGATGAGTTGGACCGCAGAGTGAAGAAAAAGCAGCCAACAAGTGGTCAGCATATGTGGGAACTCCTTCAAGACTGTTGGAAAGGTGTTCTAGGTGAAGCTGGTTGAGAGAATGCCAAGAGTGTTTAAAGCTGTCATCAACGCAAAGGGTGGCTATTTGAAGAATCTCAAATATAAAATATATTTTGATTTGTTTAACACTTTTTTTGTTTACTACATGATTCCATATGTGTTATTTCATTTTTTTCAGTTTTGATGTCTTCACTATTATTCTACAATGTAGAAAATAGTAAAAATAAAGAAAAACCCTTGAATGAGTAGTTGTGTCCAAACTTTTGACTGGTACTGTATATATTTATTTTTTTGTTCCGGACCCCTGACCATCCGCTCAAGGAAAATATCGGCCCGCGACTGAATCTAGTTGATGATCCCTCCTCTATATCCTCAAGCAATATGTCCTCTTATAATTGTGCACAAGGAAACAAGACGTGTCCATCTTGCGGATTTGCATTTGATAGAAGACTATAATCAAGTCTGTCACATAGAAATCTTTCTCTCCTTCCACTTTTTCAGATCTGTTACTGAGACACCAGCATCTCTGCCCTACCCCAGTCCTTTGGAATTATATGGCTATATGCAGACTTTACCCAAGTCTCTCTTCATCTCTGCCCAAGTCCTCCAAGGCACCCCTATACTGTCCAGGCAAGCCATGGAGAGGGCCCCAGCAGCCCAGAGGCCCACAGGCCCCAGCAGCCCCAGAGGCCCATCACATTCCTAACTAATTATGTCACTTGTCAAGTTTTTTTTAATGGTGATTTTGATTTGGAGTTGTAATTATAGTATTTTCTATTGTCTTTCATTTCTCATGTGTTTTTTGGACAAAGCTGAATTTGTTGGTTACTCCTCCTGTCTTTCAAAATACTACGATGTCTCTGTATTCCCCTCTTGGTTACAGTACATTTTTCTTGCCGGGGGCCAACCGGACAACCTGCATCAGCAGGTCAACCTGAATCAGCAGGCTGAAATCCAGTTGTAGTGTTATGGCTTAGGGCTTTTTGGGGCAAGAAATATGGAACAATGTACCTGGTCTCTCTTTGAATAGAGATCTGAGTAAAAAAACATATCATGTACTGTATTTTTCTGTATTTATTCACAGGGTCATTTTCTCTGTTGAATTACATAACACTTTTGTGCTTTAATGGATTGAGCAACATTTAGTTGTTATATACGACCTATATTATTCAATATTAAAAACAATGTATTTATACTCTTTGCATTCTGTGATTGTATTCATTTCATTGGTGCAAGAGCTCTGTTCCCATTTTTATGACTGGCTTGATTTTCTTTACATCCTTTTAAGTCAGGGTTCTTCAATTCCGGTCCTGGAGGGCCGAAACACTTCTGTTTTTTATTTCTACCTGGTAGTTAATTGCACTCACCTGGTGTCCCAGGTCTGAATTAGCCCCTGATTAGAAGGAGAGGATACAAAACAGAGGTGTTTCGGCCCTCCAGGACCGGAATTGAAGAACCCTGCTTTAAGTCAAAGAATTTCACCATATTTCACAGAATTTGTGTAAAGGATCAAGATAAGAAAATCTCTTAAAACCCATTGTTCATATGGTTTTTCAAAATGGAACTCATGTCAGCAGAGTTTAGTAACTGTAACACATTTTAATCCCACTTATTTCACCCTGTAACCCTTTTCACTTTTACAAAGCCCACAAAGTTTTATTTAGATCGACAGACACCAATGTAGACTGCAGTTCGATTGATTGAACAGAAAGAAGCAGGCTGCCAGATGAGAAGGCTCGATCTTGTCATCCTGTGTAAGTGAAGGACCACTATAGAAGGTATGGGGGGGGGGGTGGGGGGGATATAGCTATGTTGAAAATAACATTCAAACTGATTAGGTTTTTTTAAATGGAAAGATGAAGGAGAGTGGCGTGATTTTATATTTTAAAGTAGCTTGTGACAGAGAGGAATACATCCCCATAGTTGCCGTTTTATGAGGGCGCTTTTACTCAAAATTGTGGCACTGACCGAGTTGAGGGGAAGTCAGAGGAAGAGGCAAAGCGAGAGGATTTACTCCGCCCAAAAGCTGTCCGCATGAGTTAAGCCCTTTTTTGTATAGGGGTCTATGAGAGAGTGTTGAATTACGTGAGGCTTATTTGAACAAATATACGTTTTGTAATGTTTAGGCTGTTAAACATTTACTGATATAAGTGGTTGCACGTGGCATTCTGTCAACTTTGAGAAAAACGGCTTTGTTATGCCTTGTTCACACGCGTGCCTGCCCTCTCATTGGCTAGAATGGTCCCACCGACCTGACCTCACTTACCGTCACATTGAGGACATGTATTGTAGGGAAGATTACGGAAATGGATGCTCTGTTCGAAACTGATGGCAGGTCGGGTAAAGAAGACAGTGAGAATGAGTAGGCTACAGTCGTGAAAAAGACAGGAAACAAAATAAGTAAAGTTGTGATGGAAACTAAGATATCCCTAGATTTGTTTATATAGGAGTTTTGGATCAATGTTACCTGGGGGATCCGTTTGAAGTCATGAGGAGTATCATATATGCATAGGGTGAGGTGGCATTGGTGAGAGTCACAAGAGTTGGTCTTATTCAGATTTTCTGTGTGTCCGCGGAACAGAAGAAGCTTGCTTTGCGCCTCAAAAATATTTTTGAATGGAATGTTTTCTATATGGATTTCCAAAGCAGGGCGCCTGTCAAGGGGGTTATCTCTTGGTTTGCGCATGGAGTGGATGCCGATGATATACCTGAGGAAGTAGGTGAAGTGATTGGTGGATAGAGTAAGGAAACCCACTTCGTCCATATTGTTTTTTGATAAGTCTCTCCCTTCTCATGTAAAGCTAGGCCATGTAAGGACTTTTGTGCACAAGCCCTGCAGTATTATAAATGCAAGTGTATGCAGACGGGAACAATATCGTATGCCAGCTGAAGTTATATGCTGCAACTGTGGAGACTGCACCAGTGGATGTTTCTCGTCAGTCAAGGGATCCTGATATATTACATGTCAAAATGTGGACTTCGTAGCATTTATGGCAATGGTCATAAACTACACAGAACAAACGAAGAAGAAATCAGAGACAATCTGAATTATTGTGAGTGCAGCAGAACATTTTTGGGGGACTCAGTGAGTTTACAGCCGAGGCATTGCATGAAATCCTGTCAAAGGATGTTCTGCCCTCACAGGCCCCTGAGACTGTGTAGGGATGTGACTCGAAATGGAATGTAAATGAAGGAGTGGGATGTTTATTTTAAATTTTTTATGTCTGTTTTTTCCTTCTCCTAATGGATATGTTTTTATAGTTTACCACCAGTAGGTGACGGCATTCACTTCACATGCTCGTTTGCGGACTGCCATAATACCGTAGAAGAGGAAGCGCGGTCACTCGGTATTCTTCTTTGAGGAAGTGCATGTGCAAAACGTAAACAAAGTGTGTTGCGTAATCTCACACCCAATTGTCATCTTTCGTGGCAGATTTCTGTAATCCGAGTGCGAGTAGGCTACGACAAAACAACAGGCATTTCCAGGTAGTAAGAACATTGTAAATGTATTATGTGTACTATATTGTACTATTTAGTATTATTTGTACTATATTTTAATCAGTTGTCATCCTAAACACAGATAAAATAGCTAGTTTAGCTCATTTAAAGGAACGAAGTTAACCACTGGCATAGCTAACTTCTCATCTAATGTGTAAAAACATTCCTAACATTCGCTAGCAAGCTAGGGTTCCTGTCTTGACATTCAATACTTTATTTTTTATTCAGACAACATATTGCTGTGTGTTCATATCATGAGTTTTGTTGTTTGTAACGTTATCATGATTCCATGATTTTGCAGCTGGTGAGATTATGGAGAATGATGATGATCCTAAAGAAGACACCCAGTCACAAGTCAAGAACTCGGTCAACATGGAGAAGAACTGCTGCAATGAGGACACTTTCAGGTTTGAAGTCATAGGAGCTCTAGCTAACAACTTTGATTAGAGAACATGTTTTGTGCATAAGGAGACACTGCACATTTCATTTGTTTACGGTCAATGGACACTACACACCCAGTATCCTTTTCAGCAAGGCAGTGGTGGTGCAGGCAGCATAGCATTTGAGCTGACAAAGAACTGCACATGGTTGGATTGTTGGTTACATAATATCTGTGCAGGCTATTGGAACGCATGCACACAGGCTAACTATTTCCTTATTAGGTCTGTATTTCCCCAGACAGAACACAGTGCAACCTCACATTGTCTGCCAGTGCCAGCACCCAATACAAAGCTAAGAGCATAATATAGGGAGTATTATTTTGATTAGGTTTCCCATTGCATTCCCACACATATTAGAGAAATAATCCATGCCACTCGAAGGAAAGTTCAGTTAAGCAGATGATTGGGCCCAAAGTCTACCACAACCACTACCGCTTTGTTTCTCTTCTAAGCCTTGCTAGTGTTGAGCAAATTATTACAGACTAAGTTGCATTTTCTAGCATTAAGGGGTCTCACGTGGCCCCTTCTTGATCCTACTTAGCCCGTAATCCTTCTCAGTCTACTTCAGACCCTCCAAAAACCTTCTCAGGTCTCATTTGCTTCCAGAGACGCTGGATTTTATTGAAGGCATCATTGCTCTGCCAAAAGTATACATTAGTCGTCAGATATGTCCTAGCTGGTCTATCCTACTCTTCTTCCACCTGTTATACAGTAACGAATTCTAAGACAGGACCTTTGGTGAATCTGTAGCCATTTCTGTGCTTTTGCACCATCAGGAGTTCTGTATGGTCTTTCATATCAAATTCAGTCTCACACAGGATGCAGAGGGAAAGTGCAGTGATGAGGGTCTCACTTTGATGGATCTTGGAACATGACAGAATCACCAAGGACATAAATCTGCAGTTTGACCACTGTAGAAGACATTGCCTAGGATCTCTGCAAATATTCAAGTATCCAAATCTCCATTAAAGGATAAACGAGTAATCTCCAGTGAAACTTTCCCCTTGTAAACAAGGATTAACCACCTGCCGTTCTGAACTCATCATAGCATCAGTGACCTCCTCCATATTTTCCTCCTCTCTTCCCGAAACGGAGATTCCTTCCAGAAGCTCACCCACAATGGATGAGATCCGCCGGTTGTTCGGTTCGCCCGTAGGGCGCATCCGCTCGGACAGCATAGCCAGCTCTGCCACCCAGTCCTCGGGCAGCCGCCTGCTGCTGCGCCAGCGCCTCGCTCAGCTCATGACCTGCGTGGACGACCTGGACCCCTCACCCCAGCTCCAAGAGCAGGTGGCACGCAGCTTGGACAACGCCTTCCTCATCTGTGGTAAAAGGGCCAGCCGGCCCAAGAAAGAGAACTTCAGGTGGACATTTTATAGGCGTTTGCCGAGTTCCTCTTTTCTGTTCTCTTTGGGCTTACTTCGACTTGACTTCCTCTTTCTCTGTCTGTTTAACATCAGATTTGTTTTAAATCAAAATGCATTGCACATGGTTCTTCGTTGCAAGGGTTTAGTTGATGAACACAAAGTACTTTAAGACTGGATACTAATGATTCTTCTTGACTAAAACGTCCAGCAATGACTTCTCCATTGTATTCCAATGTTGTCTGGCTTTATCTGAGTACAGAGGGTCTGAGTTGGTAGAGAAGTTAGAAAACATTTTCATGTCTTGATTTTAGACCTTGGACCATTGGTCAATCAGCCTCTTGAGCTCAGAGCAGGCAGTGTGTGCAGTCTCTTCCGTTCTGGATCGTAATCTCTGGCATGCTTATCTTTTGATTTGATAACACAAAATGACCTTTTGTTAACAGAACTGAAGAGCTATGATGTTAGGACCATAGAAATCATAAGTCAATGTTCAGTGTTTTATTTAGTTCTGTGCTTAGGACATGGAAAGGGATGGGCTTAGTTCTTTGTTGAGAAGTTTTTTTCATTCACAGTTTTTGAATTGATATAGGCTATGGTTAGAGAGATGGGACTAGGCTTTATCAACCACCACTGTCCATTCAAGACTGGCTAACCGTGATATTGTTGTTGTGTAACTAAATAAGCTTCTGAAAGTTGCAGTCCAATTTGTCAGGCTTTTGCTCTGAGTTTCGGGGAAAACTGCTGTGCAAGTGAATCATGATCTGCTGTACTCTCTCTTACTCTCTCGCTCCTTCTCTCTCTTTCTCACTCCCTCTTTCTCTATCTCTTTCTTGCTTTCCATCGCCCCCTCTCTACTCTCACTCCCTCTCTTTCTCTCTCTCGCTCCCTCCAGGCTTCACATGGTCACGTGGAATGTCGCTACAGCTGATCCTCCAGATGACATCAGCTCCTTGCTTCACCTGAACTCCCCAAAGACCCCAGACCTCTATGTGATTGGGTGGGTTGCCGAGCTACTGCATGCTGATTGGACATTGATTGAGACAGACAGTACAATGGCATGACAGGAAAATCTGTTTTTTTACTGTGTAAAGTCTACAAAGTTTATTCAGAGTGGCATGGTAAAAATGCTTCAGTAGGTTTATTTGTATGATCCTAATGTTACAGGCAACAATAGTTATAACCTGTGTGTGTGTCTTGTAGTCTCCAGGAGGTGTACACTGCTCCTCACAGGTTCATCATAGACATGGCTGTTGAGGACTCCTGGAGCCATCTCTTCATGTCCAGCCTGGCACCACGAGGCTACCTGAAGGTACAACAGTAGGACATATGGCTTCATAACACTAATAATAGCACTCCAGCACCATAGACCGGTTTGAACTAGTTTTATGCCACCATCCTTAGTCTAAAGTAACAGAAAAATGTGCTCCCAACATAGTTTGTCCTCAGTTTATTTTCACCTCCTTGTCTTTCAAAGCAATATCTTTTGCTTCTTATGTGTCTCTCCGCTTCCACTCTTTTGAGTCTACCTTTTGTCTTTCTCCTGGTTACATAAAGACCCTGAAAAATAGCCCAGGTTTAGATGAAGCAGTCTCAGGGTGTCTTGTTGTGTTGTAGGTGTCCTCCATCCGAATGCAGGGCCTCCTACTGCTGTTCTTCTCCAAACTGGCCCACGTTCCATTCATTAGAGACATCCAGGCCACCTACACTCGCACAGGCATCTTCGGCTACTGGGTAAGATCAGGCTCAGTGGATGTTATTACTTATTATGACAGCTTATAGCAATTGTTATAATTCACTGTAAGTGTATTATAAGGCATTATAAATTATAAGGCATTGTGTGTTAGCCTCATGTAAAAATTGTTTTATTCATACATTTGATTGATTGACCTTGCGCCCAACAGGGGAATAAAGGTGGGGTGTCCATCCGTCTGTCTTTCTACGGCCACATGCTCTGCTTCCTCAACTGCCACCTGGCAGCACACATGCAGTACGCCTTGCAGCGCGTCGACGAGTTCGAGTACATTCTGGACACACAGACCTTCGACCCCAAAAAGACACCGCAAATCCTCGACCACAAGTTGGTATACATTAAACGCACGTTGTCAATTGAGTGTGCATTTTTCGATATTCACACAGTTGCTGTTTTAGTGTTATAAATGGAGGGGCTTGGCACCTGCTTGTAATATGATTTTAAGTACTACTGTGCTCTCACAATGTTGAATGTTCACAGTGGCCTTTCTCTCTCTCGCTCTCTCATTCCCCCTCTCTCTCATTCCCCCTCTCTCTCAGGCTGGTCTTTTGGTTTGGGGATTTGAACTTCCGCATCCAAGATCATGGCATGCATTTTTTGCGCAACTGCATCACCAGCCATAAGTTCAACTTGCTGTGGAGCAAAGACCAGGTCAGACTCATGAGAGATGCATCTGTTTTGCTCGATCTTGGAGAATACTATACATAGATTTAACTAGATTGGAAAACGGACAGTGGCTTTTCATTTAACACATGTACAGTTGTCTTGTTTTCATGCATGTAAGACATAGGATGTATCCCAGATGGCACTCTGTTTGTTCACGAGGGCCCATAGGGCTCTGATTCAAAAGAAGTGCACTATAATGGGAATGGGGTGCGATTTGGGATGCAGCCATCGTATTTCCTGACGATGTTGAGTGTAATGTTTGTCTTGTCATTCCGTGTGGTTGTATCAGCTAACCATGATGAAGAAGAAGGAGGCTCTCCTGCAGGAGTTTGACGAGGGACCTTTGGACTTTCAACCAACCTACAAATTCGACAGGTTCTCTGACTGCTATGACAGCAGGTAATGGCTGACGTGCAATCATAGGCATATGGGAACACTCGCACACATATAGATGTTAATTACTCTTTGGCTCTATAAAGCATTCACCATTGTTTTCTTTCAGATTTCCCACTTTTGTGTCATCTTTTCTGCTTGCTCTTACTGAGCTGACTCCTGCTCTCCTTACAAGACACTATTATTCAAATGCTCACCTCCGCTCTCTTTCGACTTCACAGGCCCCACAGGACATGGTTTGGTTTTCAGTAAGCTGCTCAAGACACCCCTCCTTTAATGCCACCCTAATCCCCCTTACTGCCCACTAAAACGTTTGCAAGACAGTGACGGATAGGTATTTGCAATGGAAAGTCAAAATACCTTTCTCTCCCACAAAATGGTTCCTACAGAACAGCAGACCTCGCTCTCTTGGGTTTTTTGTTTTCTGCTGATGTGAATGCTATGTGATATATATCATAGTTGTCTGCAGCTAACACAGTTGCCTCTAACAGTATATACGGTATATCAAAGTCGCTTTATTCTTCATATGAAGCCGGTAGAAAATTCCATTGAAGTGTATCAGCATTGTGCGGAGGTGGTTGCCATTCTCAGTGGACACAGTATTCTGGATTTGTTAATCCTAATTAATTTAACCCCCACAATACCATCTCAGTCATACAGAGAGAGAGAGCAGCTTTGCTAGCCGACTGTACCATTGCCTCTGTGGGCGTAAGCAGCTGTCAGGTTCTAACAGGCATGCTTACTAGCTATATACAGCACAACCTCCTTTCCTGCTGCTTGGATTGTTCACTATATACCTCCTAATGAATAGCTAAATGGCTATATAGATATGTGTGTGCTTGTGTGGGGGCGGGCGTGTGTGCATCACTGTGCGTTTGTGTGTCAGTGTCATTACCTACGGTCTCCACCGCTGTACACTAATCAATACAATTGAGAGGGAACTCACTGCATGAGTCACCCAGTGAGACGGGGTGGCAAACTAATCAGCTATGAGAGACTACTAATGAGGGATATGAAAGGAGACAAAGCACTGCTGAATCTGATCCATCATGTAGAGCAGACTGAGATAACACCGAGATGGATGAAATGCTGAAGAAATCCAGCTAGCTTTGTCAGATTACTTGTCATACTTTTTCCATCTCTAACACTCTCTCTCATGTCATTCTCCCACACACAGGCTTTGTTCAAATATCCACACTAGCATACTACTAGAATGAATAAATGTATTGGGCATGAATTCTAAGTGATATACTAGTTTATTTGGAACACAGTCTTTCTGTTTCTCTCCATCTGTCTCCTTGATTGTCTCTCACTAAATCTCTTCGCTTGTCCGTTTGCCTGTTTCTCTCCATCTCTTCCATTCTTACTTAATCATTCTCTTTCTCTCTCTCCAATTCTCTCTCACTAAATCCCTGTCTCTTCTCTCGTCCGCCCGTCTGTCTGCCCAGTGGTAAGATGCGTAAGCCGGCCTGGACAGACCGGATCCTGTGGAGGGTGAAGCCCAAAGAGCCACCCCCAGAGGAGGAGGAGGAGGAGGACGAGGACAGGGACTCTGGTCTGGATGAGAAGAACACCAAGCAGCAGCAGGAGGCGGAGGAGGAAGAGTTCCCTCTGAAACTCAAGCAGGACTCGTACACCAGCAACATGGAGTACGGCGTCAGCGACCACAAGCCTGTCATCGGCTTGTTTACTTTGGAGGTGGCTGAGACAGCGGCATTTCCCATTCCCGCATCTGGGACCGTGTTAACAAAGTCTTAAGAGTAGCAGTGCTGATCTAAAATCAGTTCCTTCCTGTCCATATAATGTTATTCATTATGATCTAAGAGGCAACATTTACTGACCCAAGATCAGCACTCCTACTCTGAGATGCTTTTTGAATACAGGCCCTGAACTGCTTCTCCAATGTGACTCTTGATAGTGATACCGTATGATGCAAATATACTCCTTCACCCTCTAGCCACTCCTGACTACCTCTTCCCTCCATCTTTTCTGTCTATCCCCACACTGTAGTTGAGGAAGATGTACGAGACGCCGTTGGTGCGCGTTTGTGCCGAGGGGGAATGGAGCGCCGACTTTGATGCCATGGTGATCTACAGCCCCCTTCAGCCCTTCCCTTCTAGTGCCTGGGACTGGATAGGCCTCTACAAGGTCCGAGTCTACTTAACCCTCTGATGTTCTTTTGAATCACAGAAGTATCATCAATGTGTAGTTTTTACAGATGTGTATTTGTGTGTTACAGGTGGGATTCAGGAGTGTTTCGGACTACATTACCTACACCTGGGTGAAGGATGATGAGGTCTCATTTAATGACGAGCTCACCCAGGTAATATGACTGCGCGTGTGTGTGTCTTTGTGTTTTATGATATGGAGATGCTCAAATATGTTTCTGTGTTTATCCAGGTCTATGTGAGCAAGGATGAGATTCCGGTGCTCGGAGGGGAGTGCATTCTCTGCTACTACTGCAGTACGCTCCAATGCATTGTGGGTATTAGCTCACCCTTTAAGGTAAGTGCAAGTTTACTGTAAGCCACCAAGAACAGTCCAGACATAGGGAATAGACATACGCACTCTCATACAGTGGGGAAAAAAAGTATTTAGTCAGCCACCAATTGTGCAAGTTCTCCCACGTAAAAAGATGAGAGAGGCCTGTAATTTTTATCATAGGTACACGTCAACTATGACTGACAAAATGAGAAAAAAAATTCCAGAAAATCACATTGTAGGATTTTTTATGAATTTATTTGCAAATTATGGTGGAAAATAAGTATTTGGTCAATAACAAAAGTTTCTCAATACTTTGTTATATACCCTTTGTTGGCAATGACACAGGTCAAACGTTTTCTGTAAGTCTTCACAAGGTTTTCACACACTGTTGCTGGTATTTTGGCCCATTCCTCCATGCAGATCTCCTCTAGAGCAGTGATGTTTTGGGGCTGTCGCTGGGCAACACAGACTTTCAGCTCCCTCCAAAGATTTTCTATGGGGTTGAGATCTGGAGACTGGCTAGGCCACTCCAGGACCTTGAAATGCTTCTTACGAAGCCACTCCTTCGCTGCCCGGGCGGTGTGTTTGGGATCATTGTCATGCTGAAAGACCCAGCCACGTTTCATCTACAATGCCATTGCTGATGGAAGGAGGTTTTCACTCAAAATCTCACGATACATGGCCCCATTCATTCTTTCCTTTACATGGATCAGTCGTCCTGGTCCCTTTGCAGAAAAACAGCCCCAAAGCATGATGTTTCCACCCCCATGCTTCACAGTAGGTATGGTGTTCTTTGGATGCAACTCAGCATTCTTTGTCCTCCAAACACGACGAGTTGAGTTTTTACCAAAAAGTTCTATTTTGGTTTCATCTGACATTCTCCCAATCCTCTTCTGGATCATCCAAATGCACTCTAGCAAACTTCAGACGGGCCTGGACATGTACTGGCTTAAGCAGGGGGACACGTCTTGCACTGCAGGATTTGAGTCCCTGGCGGCGTAGTGTGTTACTGATGGTAGGCTTTGTTACTTTGGTCCCAGCTCTCTGCAGGTCATTCACTAGGTCCCCCCGTGTGGTTCTGGGATTTTTGCTCACCGTTCTTGTGATCATTTTGACCCCACAGGGTGAGATCTTGCGTGGAGCCCCAGATCGAGGGAGATTATCAGTGGTCTTATATGTCTTCCATTTCCTAATAATTGCTCCCACAGTTGATTTCTTCAAACCAAGCTGCTTACCTATTGCAGATTCAGTCTTCCCAGCCTGGTGCAGGTCTACAATATTGTTTCTGGTGTCCTTTGACAACTCTTTGGTCTTGGCCATAGTGGAGTTTGGAGTGTGACTGTTTGAGGTTGTGGACAGGTGTCTTTTATACTGATAACAAGTTCAAACAGGTGCCATTAATACAGGTAACGAGTGGAGGACAGAGGAGCCTCTTAAAGAAGAAGTTACAGGTCTGTGAGAGCCAGAAATCTTGCTTGTTTGTAGGTGACCAAATACTTATTTTCCACCATAATTTGCAAATAAATTCATAAAAAATCCTACAATGTGATTTTCTGGATTTTTCTTTCTCAATTTGTCTGTCATTGTTGACGTGTACCTATGATGAAAATTACAGGCCTCTCTCATCTTTTTAAGTGGGAGAACTTGCACAATTGGTGGCTGACTAAATACTTTTTTTCCCCACTGTACATTCACATACATTTTGGGCTAGTTTTCCGGTCACAGGTTCAGCCTGGTTCTGGACTCCTGGACTAAAAAGATTGGAGATTCTCCATTGAAGTTTGAATTGATAAATGCCTCCGTCTGGTTTTAGGTACAAGAGTCCAAAGTGGCCATTGAGGAAGGTCTAGCGTCGGAGAACATCAAAATCCTTGACAAGGCCACAGCCAGTTCGGACCTGTGAGTGGACCAGACATGCCCTCGAACACTGTCTGTCCATCTATGCTGTTACACATCTGCCCTTTTGACCTTTGGTGGCCTGTCTGCAAGCTGTGGTGCTGCTGGAGTCATGGAATGTTACTTAAAAACTATAGGCTAGTGCACTTTGTTTTTAATGAATCATACTGTTTCTTGTTCTCCACTGCCAGTTGTGGCGGCAACAGAACCTGTCTGTTTATTTCTGTTCTGTTCAGATGTTGATCCCGCTTTTAAAATCAGTCGCAGAGAGATATTGGCAGTATCATTTTAAGAAAGGTTCAGTGTTAGTTTTTCTCAGTGTATTTATGTTTTTTGGTGTTTGGTGTTTGTCTCTTTGGATTCATATAGAACACATTGGACATTGTCAGATGTTCCAGTTAGCTTGTACTAAAGTTGAACATTGACATCAGAGTCGTGGCTGTTTCACTTGAGAATTTGACCAATCATATAATGGTATCATTAATGCATCCCTTTGCAAACTTAGTCCTCTGTTAACAAAACCCTTTGTGCTGTGCCATTCCATTTCAATGTAATTTCTCATAGAGGATATGTTTGAGAAATATATTGCACAATTTGTTCTTGTTCATATTTATGACCATGCCCTTTTTATAGATGTGTGTGAAGGTTACTGGTTTATGTATTTATTGAAGTCATTTTGGTTCAAGTAAGTGTGATTGAGGAAAAAAGTGGATTCAGCAAGTGCCTCAATGTTAACAACCTGTAGATAACTGTTCAATGGATACTTTCGTACAAAACTATGTAATTCCTATTTGATTATTTATTGCTACATTTGAAAATGATTAATTATTCTTAAAACATATGCAAGTCTTGTCTTGCTTGGACTGTACCCATCAACATTTAATCTATAGAACTTCTTATACTTTTCTTTGACCAATTTCAGCATAAGCGAGACCTGTTCAGATATCGTTATTTGCTTATTGAAAATACCTATCCGTCACTGTCTTGCAAACGTTTTAGTGGGCAGTAAGGGGGATTAGGGTGGCATTAAAGGAGGGGTGTCTTGAGCAGCTTACTGAAAACCAAACCATGTCCTGTGGGGCCTGTGAAGTTGAAAGAGAGCGGAGGTGAGCATTTGAATAATAGTGTCTTGTAAGGAGAGCAGCTCAGTAGGAGCCACTTTATTCTGTATTTACAGTATATTGAAAATTAGGAGTGCTCTATTGTCTCAGTAACAAATGTGGTACATTTAATAAATGAATACAAATGTTATACTGTAACCTATTTAAAGCTTAAATAAAGCAAAACATTGAAATGATGCCAGTCATTTATCACTAGTCTGGAATAGAAATACAATCAGTAATTTCTAGACCTTCTTTGATACAATGTAGGCTACAGTCTGTTTTATTGTAATAAGATTGTTTCTTTTAATTTACAAACGATCACGATTCGCTGGAAACAAGAACTATACATTTCTAGAACAATAACGTTTTTTAATTTTTATTAACGGGTATTTAGAAGATTTATGCAAGGATAATAATAATAATGGACATTAGGAACAACAATTCACAACAGTCTCTGAACATCAAAATGATCTAAAGTATTTTAAACCAGTCAACAGATTTACACTTTAGTCAGAGAGAAAAACATAAAAGCATGAGTGAGTAAATAGTTCCAACAGTTATAAAGGGCTTTATAAAATACATTGATTGATTGATCAATCATTGGCTTGAAGCAATGTTCCTTACAGTATACAGTAAGTCCTATTTCCAGTTTGATCGCCAATCCGATCCAGTAGCAATCCAGGACCAAGGTACATAGACATACAGGTTGACATTTTACTCTTCTAAACACACAGATGCAGTGCACAAAGTAACCATGGCATTGCAGCTGGTGTTCGCACCACCTATAACATTTTGTTAAGTTTAGTGCGTTTTAGAATAGTAAAATGTCGCCCCTAGCCTGTTCCAGACTATTCCTTATTGGGGTGGGTACTCCCAGCCAAAAAAAAAGAAGGACTAGATTCTAAATAGATTGGATAGATCTTGGCCTACTTCTATGCTCCCAGCCCCTGTACAGCCCAGACAGTGTTTACAGACAGTGCTCGAGGTGGGCCAGCAGCTCTCGGTGGTGGCTGGTGACGTACTGGGCTCGGCAGCTGGGACATTCTAAGAAGCTCTCGTCCAGCATCTTGGGGACCTGAGAGGGGGAGGTGACGCTCTCTTTGGAGGGCTTCAGGGGTGCTGGGGGTTTGCTGTGAGAACTGGCCTCGTACAGACAGGACAACTCCCTCTGCCCCTTCTCTGACTCGAGTTTGGCGACGTGGTCCTTTGCCTTGCGTAGCTTCTTCAACACGTTGTGGAGCTGTTGTTGTAAATACTGACAGTCTCGCTTCTCATCCTCCAGGTCTTTGGCAGACACCTGGATCTGCTGTTCTAGAATTGTGACGCATTTCTGCTCCTCATGCAGGCTCAGTAGGGACTTCTGCAGTAGATTCACCTGTACTATGAGCTCAGCAGACCTGATCTCCTTTTCCTCTAGTCTGGCCTGGAGCTCCTCCATGTCACCCCACAGGCGCCCCTCTCTGTCCCCAGAGCGACGCTTCTCCTTCTGGACACTCTGCCGAATACTCAGCCTCTCCGGCTGGAACTGCTGCCTCGCATCTCCAACCTCTCTCTGCTTCTCCTCATACCTACACTGCAGCTCAGTTAGTTGTCTCTGGGCTATATTGACCTGCTCTCTCTGAGTTTCCAGCTCCCTCTTGGTCGTCAGTAACAATTTCTCATAGTGCTTCTGTATCTGCACTGACCTCTCTTCTGAATGGGCGTCTTTATGCTGCTGTGCAAGGGTCTGCTTGGCCTGGTTCAGCTGCTGCTCCAGCCCAAACACCCGGGCCAACACCGCCTTCACATAGGCCTCTCTCTGCTGGTCGTAGGCCAGCCACTGCTGGTTCTTTTCCAGTGCATCTCTGAGGTGGTCGTGGCTCATTGCAGTACTGGTGGTGGACACCTGTCCATCTGATGGGCAGCTGTGCAACCCAGCGCCAGCTCTACTACTCTCCAGCTTCTGGCACTTAGCAGACATGGAGACCAGCTTGTTCTTAACATTCTCTGTCTCGGCTTGGAGTGACTGGAATAGTATTTTTCTCTGGTTGGCCTCCCTGACATAGTGGTCTATCTGGACCTGCAGACTGGCCACTGTCTCACCCCCCGCCACATGGGCCTGCTGCCAAAGAGAGCAGATTTCCTGGTCCCTGGCCAGCAGCTGCTGAGCGTTCTTCTCCGGTAGAGTCTCCAGTGACAGGATTTTCTCTAATAAAAGCATGTTATTTTCAGAATCGGATGGTTCTCTTTTCTGACTAGACAGCTCATCCAATGACTTCCTGAGATATGCATTCTCCTTTCTGAGTTTACTGATCTCCATATCCTTTTTAGAGCAACACAGCTTTTCACCTGTCTTGTCGACGAAGTTGTCCTTGTTTTTGTTGATGGATGACATCGTTGCTAAGATAGCTAACGTTAGCTAGCTAGCAAATTGCCTCACACAGATGTTGTTGTTAGAATCCAAATCTGATCCAAATGTACACTTCGCTGGCCTTTTAAATTTGCCGCGGTTGATAGCTCCGCCCAGATTACAATGTGTTGCGTTGATCTAGCAACCGTTTGTTTACAACCTGTCCTTGAGTTAATTAGTTGAAGACAGGAATTAGTTGAAGACAGGCAACATTGTTGCAACTTTTAAAACTAACCAGTGTTTCACACCGCACTGTAAAGGTATGGTAAGAAGAGAGATTTTGTTCACTACTTATATTTTAGTGACATCTTGCAAGCCACGTTTGTTAGCTAGTTTGCTAAAGTTATATGACAACTACCTAGCTAGCTAGCTAGCTGGCTAACATTACTGTAGCTAGTTATATCCATTTTCTGTCCATCCTAGTTAGTTACTGTAGCTAATTGCTATTTAATTGGTACTTTGGTAGGCTATTTACTAGTTTTGCAAAAAAATTATCTGCCTTATTATGTGACATTTTGTGTTGTTGTTGTGTCTTTCATGTGTCTTAATTGAAAGTAAAGATTATAGTTTTTTTGACTGAAAGAATTGCAGTGGAGAAATGTCTAGGCTGATGGACCCTCCACCCAAGTTCCTGCCACCAGAATGGAGGCTTGCAAACCAAATACATTATGGGAGTGCGGAGGCTGAGCGTTCACGCTCTGAGCGACTAACCGCTGAGAGTAAGAGGCTGATAGAGGAGAGTGGCATGGCAGCCAAACGCATGCAACAGGATGCCAACAAGAGACTGGGTAAGACGACATCAATAAGAAGAGATGATAACAGAATCAGTTTCTATCAAAGTAGTGGTTGATTCGTCACTGTAAATGAATGGTCTTTGTAATGACACATACATTACATTACCACCCCTCATAATACCCAACCACACACCATTCTTACCATCCTATCTCTTGTGCTCAGAGCAGAGAATCCATGACATCAAGTTCTGGAGGACTGAGCTGGACCAGAAGCTGGAGGAGATTGTCCAGGAGATTGAGGTGCTGATAACCTGTAAGAGCCGGGTGGAGAGAAGCCTGGAGAGCTGTGCCGAGCCCCTCAGAGTCGCCCTGCAGTGCCTGACTGAGCGGTGAGGAGTAAACTCCCAATCAGTCAGTTGGAAAATGCAGTGGTACACAATTAGGTGGGAAGGACTCCGCTCACTGTTCCAACAGGGACCTAGAGTCACCAGACTAAGACCAACAGATAAGAAGGATATCCTTCAGTACTAGTGTAACCTGGTCTCAGAGCATTTCATTTTAGTCTGTATGTAAATCCTAGACACTCCATTTATGTTACGTTTTGTATGGTATGTATTATTTTGTGGATGTCCAACGGCCATTTTGTATGATATGTTACGAATTACAATTCATATTGTTATATGTTACGAATTTGTAAAACGTACAATATGTTACGAATTTGCAAAATGTATGATATGTTATGAATTCTAGCTAGGTGGCTAACGTTAGGGTTGGGTTAGGGTTACGTTTAGGAGATAGGTTAGGGTTAGGGGAAGGGTTATCTAAAAGGGCTAAGGTTAGGTGAAGGGTTAGGGAAGGGTTAGCTAACATGCTAAGTAGTTGCAAAGTAGCAAAAAACGAGTAAATAGTTGAAAAGTTGCTTATTAGCTAAAATGCTAAAGTTGTCCGTGATGAGATTCGAATTCGCAACCTTTAGGTTGAGACGTTCGCGTTATACCCTACTTTCGTTTTTGCCTTAAGTAACCACCTGTCTTATGTAACCATACCAAACCTAACATATCATACTAAATAGAGCATTGCGGATTTACGTACAGAATAATACGAAATGCTCTGAGACCAGGCTGAGTAGGGTGGTAGCTAGAGTCACAGGGAGTAGTAGATACACGCTAGTGGAAGTGATTGCAAAAGTATTCATCCCCCTTGGCGTTTTTCCTATTTTGTTGCATTACAACCTGTAATTTAAATTGATTTTTATTTAGATTTCATGTAATGGACATATACAAAATAGTCCAAATTGGTGAAGTGAAATCAAAATAATAACTTGTTTAAAAAAATTCTAAAGAATAAATGACGGAAAAGTGGTGCATGCATATGTATTCACCCCCTTTGCTATGAAGCCCCTAAATAAGATCTGGTGCAACCAATTACCTTCAGAAGTCACATAATTAGTTAAATAAAGTCCAACTTTGTGCAATCTAAGTGTCACATGATCTGTCACATGATCTCAGTACATATACACCTGTTCTGAAAGGTCCCAGAGTCTGCAACACCACTAAGCAAGGGGCACCACCAAGCAAGCGGCACCATGAAGACTGAGGAGCTCTCCAAACAGGTCAGGGACAAAGTTGTGGAGAAGTACAGATCAGGGTTGGGTTATAAAAAGATATCTGAAACTTTGAACATCCCACGGAGCACCATTAAATCCATTATTCAAAAATGGAAAGAATATGGCACCACAACAAACCTGCCGAGAAAGGGCCGCCCACCAAAACTCACGGACCAGGCAAGGAGGGCATTAATCAGAGGCAACAAAGACACCAAAGATAACCCTGAAGGAGCTGCAAAGCCCCACAGCGGAGATTGGAGTATCTGTCCATAGGACCACTTTAAGCCGTACACTCCACAGAGCTGGGCTTTACGGAAGAGTGGCCAGAAAAAAGCCATTGCTTATTGAAAAAAATAAGCAAACATGTTTGGTGTTCGCCAAAAGCCATGTGGGAGACTCCCCAAACATATGGAAAAGGTACTCTGGTCAGATGAGACTAAAATTGAGCTTTTTGGCCATCAAGGAAAACACTATGTCTGGCGCAAACCCAACACCTCTCATCACCCCGAGAACACCATCCTCACAGTGAAGCATGGTGGTGGCAGCATCATGCTGTGGGGATGTTTTTCATCGGCAGGGACTGGGAAACTGGTCAGAATTGAAGGAATGATGGATGGCGCTAAATACAGGAAAATTCTTGAGGGAAACCTGTTTCAGTCTTCCAGAGATATGAGACTGGGACGGAGGTTCACCTTCCAGCAGGACAATGACCCTAAGCATATTGCTAGAGCAACACTCGAGTGGTTTAAGGGGAAACATTTAAATGCCTTGGAATGGCCTAGGCAAAGCCCAGACCTCAATCCAATTGAGAATCTGTGGTATGACTTAAAGATTGCTGTACACCAGCGGAACCCATCCAACTTGAAGGAGCAGTTTTGGGGTGAATAGTTATGCACGCTCAAGTTTTCTGTTTTTTTGGTCTTATTTCTTGTTTGTTTCACAAGGAAACATATTTTGCATTTTCAAAGTGGTAGGCATGTTGTGTAAATCGAATGATACAAACCCTCCAAAATCCATTTAAATTCCAGGTTGTAAGGCAACAAAATAGGAAAAATGCCAAGGGGGGTGAATACCTTCGCAAGCCACTGTACTCCATCTCCATGTGTGTTTCAGGCAGAGGCGTGTTTCCATTGACCTGGTACATGACGAGGTGGAGCGGGAACTGATGAAGGAGAGGGAGGTGATCGAGGGAGTGGCATCACTGCTGAACCGCACCCTGGAGCAGACCAATGAACAGATCAGGTGGGTGAGGGGAGGAAGTGGTTCGTCACCACACACACACACACACGATCACGTCTCACTATCTCTGCAATTCTTCTAATGCATGTTTCTGTTCTGGCTCCAGACTGAACCGCTCTGCAAAGTACTACCTAGAGAAGGACCTGCGGGACAAGTTCCAAGCAGAGCAGATTGATGGTTTCTGCTCCATGCTCACAAACACCTCCCCGAATATTGACAACGTGACTAGTCAGACAGCACTCGCAGTACCAGGGTAAAACGATGACACATTGTCTTTGTGCAATGTGGGGCAGTAGGAAATGCAATGAAGAAAATGTAATTATTTCAAACTAAAGATAATATTTTCTCTTCACCAAGCATGCAGTTTCACCTGCAGCAAAAGTCATAATTATACACGTAGAAATATAAGGCCTGTCACAATGCTTTGTGATGGATAGTAGGTGCATTCTGCATACAGTAGCTTCATTAGAAGCATTATTCCCTTCAGCCAGCAGAGGTCAGTGTAATACCTCTAACCACCCTACTTATGGAAACCTTTTCTACAGGTTAACCTGCCATCCTTTCATGACACACTGAACAAAAAATATATAACATTTAATCCCTCCAATCCTAGTGCCACTGTGACACCAGAGGAGTGGGAGACCTTCTCCAACATCAACATCCTCAAAGCAGAGCGAGAGAAGAACAATTCCCTGTCGCTGAGGGCTCTGGTGGAGAGCCTCCTGGAGCAGACGGCTGCTGACATGCGCAGGCAGCACAATGCTACGGGCACTGCCCTCCGGCTGCAGGTCCAGGAGACCAAGACGGCCAAAGGACAACTAGAGGAGCACCTGGCAAAGGTAAGCAGGAATGTGGAGAAAAACGTACTTTACAGTGCATTCAGAAAGTATTCAGACCCCTTCCCTTTTTCCACATTTTGTTACGTTACAGCCTTATTCTAAAATGAATTAAATATATATTTTTCTTATCAACCTACACACAATACCCCATAATGACAAAGAGAAAACAGGTTTTTAGAAATTTTAGCGAATATTTATATATATATATATATATATATATATATATATATATATATATATAAAAAAGAAAACAGTATTCAGACCATTTGCTATGAGACTCAAAATTGAGATCAGGTGCATCCTGTTTCCATTGATCATCCTTGAGATGTTTCTACAACTTGATTGGAATCCACCTGTGGTAAATTCAATTGATTGGACATGATTTGGAAAGGCACACACCTGTCCATATAAGGTCCCACAGTTGACAGGGCACGTCAGAGCAAAAACCAAGCCATGAGGTCGAAGGAATTGTACGTAGAGCTCCGAGACAGGATTGTGTCGAGGCACAGATCTGGGGAAGGGTACCAAAAAATTTCTGCAGCATTGAATGTCCCCATTCTTAAATGGAAGAAGTTTGGAACCACCAAGACTCTTCCTAGAGCTGGCCGCCCGGCCATACAGCGCAATTGGGGGAGAAGGGCCTTGGTCAGGGAGGTGACCAAGAACCCCATGGTCACTCTGACAGAGCTCCAGAGTTCCTCTGTGGGGATGGGAGAACCTTCCAGAAGGACAACCATCTCTGCAGCACTCCACCAATCAGGCCTTTATGGTAGAGTGGCCAGACGGAAGCCACTCCTCAGTAAAAGGCACATGACAGCCCGCTTGGAGTTTGCCAAAAGGCACCTAAAGACTCTCAGACCATGAGAAACAAGATTCTCTGGTCTGATGAAACCAAGATTGAACTCTTTGGCTTGAATGTCAAGCGTCACGTCTGGAGGAAACCTGGCACCATCCCTACGGTGAAGCATGGTGGTGGCAGCATCATGCTGTGGGGAGGTTTTTCAGCGGCAGGGACTGGGAGACTAGTCAGGTTCGAGGGAAAGATGAACAGAGCAAAGTACAGAGAGATCCTTGATGAAAACCTGCTCCAGAGCGCTCAGGACCTCAGACTGGGGCGAAGGTTCACTTTCCAACAGGACAACGACCCTAAGCACACAGCCAAGACAACGCAGGAGTGGCTTCGGGACAAGTCTCTGAATGTCCTTGAGTGTCCCAGCCAGATCCCGGACTTGAACCCGATCGAACATCTCTGGAGAGACCTGAAAATAGCTGTGCAGCGACACTCCCCATCCAACCTGACAGAGTTTGAGAGGATCTGCAGAGAAGTATGGGAGACACTCCCCAAATACAGGTGTACCCAAGAAGACTTGAGGCTGTAATCGCTGCCAAAGGTGCTTCAACAAATTAGTCAGTAAAGGGTCTGAATACTTATGTACATGTAATATTTCAGTTTTCTTATTTTTTATACATTTGAAAAAAATTCTATTTTTTTTTTTTTAGAATAATGCTTTTAGAATAAGGCTGTAATGTAACAAAATGTGGAAAAAGTCAAGGGGTCTGAATACTTTTCCAAATGCACTGTATATGCATAACCCAGGCCATTCCCCCCTATGATTAGTTACTGAAGCGATTCCCCCACATTTTAAATTACTGTCATTTAGCAGACACTCTTATCCTGAGCGACTTACAGGAGCAATTAGGGTTACATGCCTTGCTCAAGGGCATGTCGGCAGATTTTTTCACCTAGTCGGCTCAAGGATTCTAACCAGCGTCCTTTCGGTTACTGGCCAAACGCTCTTAAACACTAAGCTACATGCCGCCCTGTGATTAGTTACTGGAATGATTCCCCCATGATTAGTTACTGGAATGATTTCCCTCCTTTCCCCCTAAAAAGGTTCTGTCAGAGGTGGCCAGCCAGGAGTGGAACCTGGAGGCCCTGCGCGTGGCCATCGAAGACAAAGCAGGTCCCCTGAAGGTGGCCCAGACACGGCTGTCCGCCCGCAGCCAGAGACCCAGCATCGAGCTCTGCCATGACCCGGTCCAGGTCCGCCTGCTCTCCGAGGTCCAGGAGCTCACTGCACACATCAAGAGGTGACGATGCACTCCACATTCCTTTCTACTGTACCTAACTCTTCCTACTTATCTCTGCTAACCTATCTAGGATCTCTGACCACTGTTTTCACTTCAATTACAACTCTAGCTATTTTGTAGTACTTTACAGATTTTTTAGCTCTGTATGAAGTAGAAGTTTAGTTATCCTGACACAACCCAGTGATTAGTGATTTACTATACTCGTGATTTTGTTATACAAACAGGATATCACAGCTTTCATTTCAAGTCTTTTTTGTTCAGTAGATAAACCTATCTCTGGTTAAGATACTTTTCTAAATGTATTATTGCCTATTTGCCATGAGTCTCCCATTGCCCTGTGTCAACCCTGTGACCCCCAGACTGCGAGAGGCCCAGGCCCAGTCAGAGATGGAGCTGCTGTCCCTGACCCGCTCCCAGCTGATCCTGGAAGAGGAGATCCAGGTCAAGTCCCACTCCCTCTACATCGACGAGGTCATCTGCACCCAGCTCCGCCAGCCCATCTCCATCCACAGCTTCTGAATACCACTCCCACCATGACAAGCCTGGTCCCTGATCTGTTTGTGCTGTCTTGCATTAACAGATCTGGGACAAGCCTAGACCATGGCCACACTGGAGGGACTTTATAGTGGGGCTCTTTAGCTGATGCTGACATACCCAGGCTAGCATTTTCAAATCAAAATGGGCAATTTTACTGCTGAATAAAATATGAGGTATACATTATGATGGAAAGTTGGAGTGCATGTATTGTTTGCAGCAATTTTAATAAAATATTTGGGTTTGAAGAAAAGGAGGATCAGAGTTGTGGAGCGTGTGTTTATATTTACAGCGATGGCGCTGTGTGTGTGTGTGTGTGTGTGCGCGTTTGTGAATGTGAGTGTGTGTTGTCAGACCCATCATGATTGTGTATCAAATTGTAGTTTCCTTCCTCTTCCTTTAACTGGTGCTATTATTTTTTGAAATACTGTATTTTTGGGCCAATGTGTCTGTCAGGCAGCAGTCAGAGCATTGGGTAGGAGATGGCGAAGTAGTGGAGCTCTGAGTTGATGAGTTGTCTGTAGCGAGAGTACACCTCCTCCAGCTGCTCATCCTCATCCGGAGTCTCATATTTGTTGGTGTAGATCCGCACCTGGGGCACAAACACAAGCAGCTTACACAGTATATTGCTCACATAATATAAGCACATTGCTATAGCTAGGTACAACACATTAAGTGTCATCCGTAGTTGTTAAAGTAGAAGAGGAAGGAAATGTGACCTGCCCCTTTAAGAACTGACAAAGCTGACTGCCCAGCTGAAGGCTGTTTCATTAATGACCCAAACACACTTTAAAATGCCTGCAATATCCCAGTTCACTGGGCAGGAGAACACAGCTGGCTAGTGTGTGGAGCGTGTGTTAGTAAATCACGTCAATGCCAGGACATAGATTGGTACACAGGTGTGTAGGCCTATATGGCCTTGCCCTAGCTCCCAGAGCGCTGGCTCACCTTAATGGTCCTTAGGATGATCTTTTTTTCCAGGCGTTTCTGCAGCAGCCGGTCCAGGAAGCTGATGTCCAGGAAGGCCCAGACCTTCATGTAGACCAGCCGGCTGCACAGCAGCACCACCTCCAGCAGCTCCTCGTCCACAGACTCGTGGCTGTTGTTCAGGTCCAAGGTCAGTTTCTAAACCAAGGAATTGGGGTGGAGGCAGATTCACAACACTTCAACATGGATTCCTGTTTTTTGTTAAAGTATGAGTGCCACTGACTTCCTATTGACAATTTAGGGCTGGATTCACTCCGTATTGCGGAAGATCCGTGTGAAAATGTGAAGGTAATTTCCGATTGACCTGACATATGCAGCGTTTACTGTGAATGCAGTCTCCACAAACCTGGGAACAGCCTTTAAATTTAAATTGAGCTATAACACAGATCTACCGCGATACATCTGCGATATGGATTGAATCCAGCCCTTAGAGTCATGTCTCTTGGGGCCGGTTTCCCTGACATAGATTAAGCCTAGTCCAGGACTAGTGTCTGAACTGCATGGATATAAAAATACAATGCAGGTACATTAAAAACAGTTGATATACCGCACAATGTGCATACTTTATCGCCAAACAAACCAGTAGCCTAAGTGTTGCCATCATTGCTCCATAGCTGACTGCTACTGCGTATTGACGGGTAGAGCAACCAATCCTCACCTGTAAACAGCTCCTGTAGCAGGGCACTAGGTTGGTAAGGGCAGGCTTGGCACTCCAGTCCTGTTCACTGAAGTAGCAGCTGGTGAGACTGAGCGAGCGCAGCGGGATCTCTCTGAGCAGAATCCTCCCCAGCTTGTCCATGTTGAGGATCCGCTCCACTGTGATCTGCACCCGGAGGTCGGGACAACGCTGGGCCAGATGGGACCAGGCATCCCCACAGACCACCTGGATGTGGGGCTCGTGAATATGGCATCGTATAGTGAACGTCTGCAGGGACCCTCCCCCGCCCAGGCTCCTACATGCAGCGGACAGGGCCGCCAGCAGCTCGTCCGACACACAGCTGTAGTTGAGGGTAAGGGTGCAGAGGCCCTGGAAGCGGTTCATGACCTGGGGGAAGGCGGGGCTGATGAAGACGGCTAGCGGCTGTGAGAAGAAGTCCTCCAGGTTGAGGTGGGTGATGCCGGGCCGGCGGCCCAGGTGGATGTGCTGCTGAGCTGCAGCCACGGCCTCCAGAACCTCAAGGCCCTGGGGCAGGTTGAGGCGGGCCCCCCGCAGGCTCAGGTAGCCCAGGCGGGAGCCCTCGCGGCGCAGGTAGAAGGTGAGGCTGCGCACCAGGGCCTTGCGTATGCTGCGGCACCAGGCGGCGCGGTCCAGCTCCATGTGGTTGACAGTTAGGCAGCGTAGTCGGCCGCCGGTTTTACGCAGCGCGGCGAGGAAGGTCCTAAGCGTCTGCTGGAAGCGCCGGGACACCAGAGAGTTGAAGGGGTGGGAGAAGCGGATCTCCAGATCCTCCAGGTAAGAGCCGTAGGTCTTCGCATAACACACGGCCTTCTCCAGCTCCGAGCGGCGGGTCCTGGAGATGCGGCCGGAGAAGTTGAAGGTTCGAACCCTCCAGAGGGAGGGCGAGCGCATGACGTGGTGCCAGTGGTGACACACCAGGGCTGCCTTGACACGGTCGCGGTCACGCAGCCACCAGAACACCTGCCGCATACATACGTCCGGGAGATTAGCCCAGCCCAGTTTAGGCTCCTTATCTTCCTCCGCCTCGCCTTCTTCCTCCTCCTCCTCCATTATCTCTATTCCTTCATCTTCCTCTTCTTCGTTTTCAACCTCAGAGAGCTGTTCTTCTGGATCCTCAGGGGTAATTCATTTACAGGGAAGAAGTGTTGCCAAACCACTAACGTCTCTCAATATTCATCCACCAAATGTAAATAAATAGTTCTCCCTGTAGTCTGAAATGTATTCTATGTGACTCTGGGGTTAGTTTGGACTACAGAGAAGCAGAGGACACATTGACACATACTTGTGTCCTTTGGGTGGCCATCAATGTGTCCCAGTTATCACCTGGAAATGACTAGACACCAAAACTGAAGCTCTGGAACCTTCACAGCTTTTATTGTTGTCACCATGAAACCAAAGGGACACCTTATGACATCACAATAGGAGATGATAAAACTGGATGGCTCATAGCATTTGGACCTATTATAAAAAATATATAATCTCCTTAAGTGTGTATAGAGCAAACCATTTTATTGTAAATCAGTTCATTGTAGGATTTTTTATGAATTGATTTGCAAATTATGGTGGAAAATAAGTATTTGGTCAATAACAAAAGTTTCTCAATACTTTATTATATACCCTTTGTTGGCAATGACACAGGTCAAACGTTTTCTGTAAGTCTTAACAAGGTTTTCACACACTGTTGCTGGTATTTTGGCCCATTCCTCCATGCAGATCTCCTCTAGAGCAGTGATGTTTTGGGGCTGTCGCTGGGCAACACGGACTTTCAACTCCCTCCAAAGATTTTCTATGGGTTTGAGATCTGGAGACTGGCTAGGCCACTCCAGGACCTTGAAATGCTTCTTACGAAGCCACTCCTTCGTTGCCCGGGCGGTGTGTTTGGGATCATTGTCATGCTGAAAGACCCAGCCACGTTTCATCTTCAATGCCCTTGCTGATGGAAGGAGGTTTTCACTAAAAATCTCACGATACATGGTCCCATTCATTCTTTCCTTTACACGGATCAGTCGTCCTGGTCCATTTGCAGAAAAACAGCCCCAAAGCATGATGTTTCCACCCCAATGCTTCACAGTAGGTATGGTGTTCTTTGGATGCAACTCAGCATTCTTTGTCCTCCAAACACGACGAGTTGAGTTTTTACCAAAAAGTTATATTTTGGTTTCATATGACATTCTCCCAATCCTCTTCTGGATCATCCAAATGCACTCGAGCAAACTTCAGATGGGCCTGGACATGTACTGGCTTAAGCAGGGGGACACGTCTGGCACTGCAGGATTTTAGTCCCTGGCGGCGTAGTGTGTTACTAATGGTAGGCTTTGTTACTTTGGTCCCAGCTCTCTGCAGGTCATTCACTAGGTCCCCCTGTGTGGTTCGGGATTTTTGCTCACCGTTCTTGTGATCATTTTGACCCCACGGCGTGAGATCTTGCGTGGAGCCCCAGATCGTGGGAGATTATCAGTGGTCTTGTATGTCTTCCATTTCCTAATAATTGCTCCCACAGTTGATTTCTTCAAACCAAGCTGCTTACCTATTGCAGATTCAGTCTTCCCAGCCTGGTGCAGGTCTACAATTTTGTTTCTGGTGTCCTTTGACAGCTCTTTGGTCTTGGCCATAGTGGAGTTTGGAGTGTGACTGTTTGAGGTTGTGGACAGGTGTCTTTTATACTGATAACAAGTTCAAACAGGTGCCATTAATACAGGTAATGAGTGGAGGACAGAGGAGCCTCTTAAAGAAGAAGTTACAGGTCTGTGAGAGCCAAAAATCTTGCTTGTTTGTCGGTGACCAAATACTTATTTTCCACCATAATTTGCAAATAAATTCATTAAAAATCCTACAATGTGATTTTCTGGATTTTTTTTCCTCAATTTGTCTGTCATAGTTGACGTGTACCTATGATGAAAATTACAGGCCTCTCTCATCTTTTAAGTGGGAGAACTTGCACAATTGGTGGCTGACTAAATACTTTTTTTCCCCACTGTACATTAGTAAACAAATATTAAAATGTAAAACTTTTGAAGAGTTTAATGATGGAGAACACATTCCCATTTTCAGAACATACTGTATTTCAGTTGTAAACTATGTATTATATAACAATCATAAAATAGGACTATTGTCCTCTTGTAGAGAGAAGAATCCTGACTAATGTAATAAGTAATAATCTCTTACTATTACCCAACCCATCCAATCACCAGAAATAACTAAACTGCCTCTGAAATACAGATTTTCTAAAATAAATCACGACTAACCCTGTTAATTGTGTTATTACTAACTTGACAACCACTACACCAATTCACCATGGAGTGTTCCTTCAGAAGTTCAGAGCACGTGTCTCATTTTAAGTTGACATGGATCTGACATTTGGCCTGAAAGGAGAAACAAAATATACAGTTAGTTTGTTAGGGTTGGAGACTGAATTGAAATGAAATTGACCCAACCCAGAAGGGTTCTGTGTTTTTGGGACACAGCTGTACCTCATGCCATCGTAGTGTGACTACGGGGAGAGCCAGGTGACAGTGGGGACAGGTGCTGATCTGGTCAACATCCCCCTCTCCCCCCTCTTGCCTCCTGCCTTGGGCTGAGAACAATGCAGACTTCATAGAATTGGTCAAAAGAGGACTGGGCTGCTCCTGTTTGTGGCTGCCATCATCATCATCATCATCATCATCATCACCTTCAGCCTCTTCTGATGTGTGGACACACTCCAGCTAGCAGTGGGGGAAGAGAGTGGAACAAGTGATTTAAACACAAAGCTCTTTCCATGGAGAATCTGCATTGAGAATGCTTGTTTGTCCAGGAGTAGGCTTAATATAGGCAGGAATGATCTGACAACGATAACTTGGGTTCATGCTGTGGAATAAGAACATACCTGATGTTCCGCCATCTTCTCCAATGGGAAAGACCTCATACAGCTCCTGCAAACCACTGCTGTTCGACTGCCTGCATACAGAAAATACCACATTAATTTGAATATAACATAACATTGAACACCATTGTGTCAATCTCATCTGACTGGATAGTGATTATGATTTCCATTTTCCAATGTGTTGAATATTACATCAACTTAAGTGTAGGGGTTAGCCTCACTGTTGGAGGATGGCGGGGAGGGGTTATCGGGAACATAGAGGTCAGGGCAGATCTGGGAATGCTCCGTCTGGTCCCTCAGAGTGACGTAGCGTCCGCAGTCGGAGCAGCACTCGGTGCGACTGCCACACGCCACGCTGTGCTCCGCCATGGCCGACAGCGGCAGCTCCAACTGGCAGAACTCACAGCGCTGCAGCCTTGCCTTACACTCGTCCGACTGAGAGAGAGGGGTGGGAGGAGTGATTTTATTCTGTATGACAGTCGTTATTATACACCTGTATCAATTACAGTTTGACTATGACGATCATGCAGAGGAACTAATCACAATCCTTTCACTGAAACAGCATTGTCATGGCGTATGTTAGCATTGAGATGGCGCCGGAGAAGATGGCTGCCGTTTTACAGCCCTCTAACCAATTGTACTATTATGTGTGTTTTTTCGCATTATTTGTTATTTATTCTGTACATAATGTTTCTGCCATCGTCTCTTATAACCAAAAAGAGCTTTCTGGATATCAGGACAGCGATTACTCACCTCGTATTGGACGAAGATTTTTTTCATCAATGAGTCGGACGCGAAGGATATCCTACAGGCACCCAACAAGGCCCAAATCCCCATCATTCGCAGGAGAAAGAGACGGAGATATCGTGGACGTAGGTCGGGGTGCCTTGTAAGGATCCGACGGCGAGCGAATAAACTGCCTCTCCCATCAATCCTATTAGCCAATGTTCAATCATTTGAAAATAAATTAGAGGACCTAAGATTACGGTTATCCTACCAACGGGACATTAAAAACTGTAATATCTTATGTTTCACAGAGTTGTGGCTGAACGATGACATGGACAACATACAGCTGATGGGATATATGCTACATCAGCAGGATAGAACGGCTGACTCTGGTAAGACAAGGGGTGGCGGTCTGTGTATATTTGTAAACAGCAGCTGGTGCACAAAATCAAATACTAAGGAAGTCTCGAGGTTTTGCTCGCCTGAGGTAGAGTATCTTATGATAAGCTGTAGACCACACTATTTACCAAGAGAGTTTTCATCTATCTTTTTCATAGCTGTCCATTTACCACCACAAACCAATGCTGGCATTAAGATTGCACTCAACAAGCTGTATAAGGCCATAAGTAAACAGGAAAACGCTCATCCAGAGGCAGCGCTCCTAGTGGCCGGGGTCTTTAATGCAGGGAAATTTAAATCCATTCCACCTAATTTCTACCAGCATGTTAAATGTGCAACCAGAGGAAAAAAAACTCTAGACCACCTTTACTCCACACACAAAGACGCATACAAAGCTCTCCCTCGCCCTCCATTTGGCAAATCTGACCATAACTCTATCCTCCTGATTCCTGCTTATAAGCAAAAACTAAAGCAGGAAGCACCAGTGACTCGGTTAATAAAAAAGTGGTCAGATGACGCAGATGCTAAGCTACAGGACTGTTTTGCTAGCACAGACTGGAACATGTTCCGGGATTCTTCAGATAGCATTGAGGAGTACACCACATCAGTCACTGGCTTCATCAATAAGTGCATCGATGACGTCGTCCCCACAGTGACTGTATGTACATACCCCAACCAGAAGCCATGGATTACAGGCAACATCCGCACTGAGCTAAAAGGGTAGAGCTGCCGCTTTCAAGGAGCGGGACTCTAACCCGGACGCTTATAAGAAATCCCGCTATGCCCTCCGACGAACCATCAAACAGGCAAAGAGTCAATACAGGACTAAGATTGAATCGTACTACACCGGCTCTGACGCTCGTTGCATGTGGCAGGGCTTGAAAACGATTAAAGACTACAAAGGGAAGCACAGCCGCGAGCTGCCCAGTGACACAAGCCTACCAGACGAGCTAAACCACTTCTATGCTCGCTTCGAGGCAAGCAACACTGAAGCATGCATGAGAGCACCAGCTGTTCCGGATGACTATGTGATCAAGCTCTCCGTAGCCAACGTGAGTAAGACTTTTAAGCAGGTCAACTTTCACAAGGCCGCATGGCCAGATGGATTACCAGGACGTGTACTCCGAGCATGTGCTGACCAACTGGCAAGTGTCTTCACTGACATTTTCAACATGTCCCTGACTGAGTCTAATACCAACATGTTTCAAGCAGACCACCATAGTCCCCGTGCCCAAGGACACTAAGATAACCTGCCTAAATGACTACCGACCCGTAGCACTGACGTCTGTAGCCATGAAGTGCTTTGAAAGGCTGGTCATGGCTCACATCAACACCATTATCCCAGAAACCCTAGACCCACTCCAATTTGCATACTGCCGCCCCAACAGATCCACAGATGATCTCTATTGCACTCCACAATGCCCTTTCGCACCTGGACAACAGGAACACCTACGTGAGAATGCTATTCATTGACTACAGCTCAGCGTTCAACACCATAGTGCCCTCAAAGCTCATCACTAAGCTAAGGATCCTGGGACTAAACACCTCCCTCTGCAACTGGATCCTGGACTTCCTGACGGGCCGCCCCCAGGTGGTAAGGGTAGGTAACAACACATCTGCCACGCTGATCCTCAACACGGGGGCCCCTCAGGGGTGCGTGCTCAGTCCCCTCCTGTACTCCCTGTTCACCCATGACTGCATGGCCAGGCACGACTCCAACACCATCATTAAGTTTGCCGACGACACAACAGTGGTAGGCCTGATCACCGACAACGATGAGACAGCCTATAGGGAGGAGGTCAGAGACCTGGCCGTGTGGTGCCAGGATAACAACCTCTCCCTCAACGTGACCAAGACAAAGGAGATGATTGTGGACTACAGGGAAAAAAAAGAGGACTGAGCACACCCCCATTCTCATCGACGGGGCTGTAGTGGAACAGGTTGAGAGCTTCAAGTTCCTTGGTGTCCACATCACCAACAAACTATCATGGTCCAAACACACCAAGACTGTCGTGAAGAGGGCACGACAAAGTCTATTCCCACTCAGGAGACTGAAAAGATTTGGCATGGGTCCTCAGATCCTCAAAAAGTTCTACAGCTGCACCATCGAGGGCATCCTGACTGGTTGCATCAACACCTGGTATGGCAACTGCTCGGCCTCCGACCACAAGGCACTACGGAGGTAGTACGTACGGCCCAGTACATCACTGGGGCCAAGCTTCCTACCATCCAGGACCTCTATACCAGGCGGTGTCAGAGGAAGGCCCTCAAAATTGTCAAAGACCAGCCACCCTAGTCATAGACTGTTCTCTCTGCTACCGCACGGCAAGCGGTACCGGAGCGCCAAGTCTAGGTCCAAAAGGCTTCTCAACAGCTTCTACCCCCAAGCCATAAGACTTCTGAACAGCTAATCATGGCTACCCTGACTACACTGCTCAAAAAAATAAAGGGAACACTCAAATAACACATCCTAGATCTGAATGAATGAAATAATATTATTAAATACTTTTTTCTTTACATAGTTGAATGTGCTGACAACAAAATCACACAAAAATTATCAATGGAAATCAAATGTATCAACCCATGGAGGTCTGGATTTGGAGTCCCCCTCAAAATTAAAGTGGAAAACCACACTACAGGCTGATCCAACTTTGATGTAATGTCCTTAAAACAAGTCAAAATGAGGCTCAGTAGTGTGTGTGGCCTCCACGTGCCTGTATGACCTCCCTACAACGCCTGGGCATGCTCCTGATGAGGTGGCGGATGGTCTCCTGAGGGATCTCCTCCCAGACCTGGACTAAAGCATCCGCCAACTCCTGGACAGTCTGTGGTGCAATGTGGCGTTGGTGGATGGAACGAGACATGATGTCCCAGATGTGCTCAATTGGATTCAGGTCTGGGGAACGGGCGGGCCAGTCCATAGCATCAATGCCTTCCTCTTGCAGGAACTGCTGACACACTCCAGCCACATGAGGTCTAGCATTGTCTTGCATTAGGAGGAACCCAGGGCCAACCGCACCAGCATATGGTCTCACAAGGGGTCTGAGGATCTCATCTCGGTACCTAATGGCACTCAGGCTACCTCTGGCGAGCACATGGAGGGCTGTGCGGCCCCCCAAAGAAATGCCACCCCACACCATGACTGACCCACCGCCAAACCGGTCATGCTGGAGGATGTTGCAGGCAGCAGAGCGTTCTCCACGGCGTCTCCAGACTCTGTCACGTCTGTCACGTGCTCAGTGTGAACCTGCTTTCATCTGTGAAGAGCAAAGGGCGCCAGTGGCGAATTTGCCAATCTTGGTGTTCTCTGGCAAATGCCAAACGTCCTACACGGTGTTGGTCTGTAAGCACAACCCCCACCTGTGGACGTCGGGCCCTCATACCACCCTCATGGAGTCTGTTTCTGACCGTTTGAGCAGACACTTGCACATTTGTGGCCTGCTGGAGGTCATTTTGCAGGGCTCTGGCAGTGCTCCTCCTGCTCCTCCTTGCACAAAGGCGGAGGTAGCAGTCCTGCTGCTGGGTTGTTGCCCTCCTACGGCCTCCTCCACGTCTCCTGATGTACTGGCCCGTCTCCTGGTAGCGCCGCCATGCTCTGGACACTACGCTGACAGACACAGCAAACCTTCTTGCCACAGCTCGCATTGATGTGCCATCCTGGATGTGCTGCACTACCTGAGCCACTTGTGTGGGTTGTAGACTCCGTCTCATGCTACCACTAGAGTGAAAGCACCACCAGCATTCAAAAGTGATCAAAACATCAGCCAGGAAGCATAGGAACTGAGAAGTGGTCTGTGGTCACCAGCTGCAAAACCAGTCCTTTATTGGGGGTGTCTTGCTAATTGCCTATAATTTCCACCTGTTGTCTATTCCATTTGCACAACAGCATGTGAAATGTATTGTCAATCAGTGTTGCTTCCTAAGTGGACAGTTTGATTTCACAGAAGTGTGATTGACTTGGAGTTACATTGTGTTGTTTAAGTGTTCCCTTTATTTTTTTGAGCAGTGTATTTGCACTGCCCCCCCCCCCACCCCCCACCCCCATCTTTTTACGGTGCTGCTACTCTGTTAATTATTTATGCATAGTCACTTTAACTCTACCCACATGTACATATTACTTCAACTACCTCAACTAGCCGGTGCCCCCCGCACATTGACTCTGCACCAGGACCCCCCTGTATATAGCCTCCCTACTGTTATTTTATTTTACTTCTGCTCTTTTTTTCGCAACACTTTTTTGTTGTTTTATTTTACTTTTTTATGAAAAAATAAATGTATTGTTGGTTAAGGGCTGTAAGTAAGCATTTCATGGTAATGTCTACACCTGTTGTATTCGGCGCATGTGGCAAATAACATTTGATTTGATGTGTGTGGCAATGCCGGTGACCGTTGAGCAGTCTCACCTCATGGTCCAGGAGCTGGCAACGCTCCACCTTTTTGTTGCACTTGGTGCATTTCACCTGTGGGAGTGACGGAGCGATAATATATTGAAAATAAGCAATCGGGCCTTTGATCTATCAACATCTACTCAAGTATTAGGAAGTGGTCCTGGCTTCATTAGAGCAGAGTGGTTTACCTGGCTGTGCTGGTCCTGATGGTGCTGCTCCAATAGCTCTCTGGGAACAGACTCATCACAGGCTGGACACAGGCATAGGAACCGCTGGCAGTGGGACTCATGCAAGGCAAAGTTGGACACAGCCACCTTCTTGTGACTGACGGTGAACACGAGGACAGGAGGAGTGTTAAGAGGCGCGACAAGACCACAGACTTGTGTGTGCAGTGGTTTAAAGTACTTCAGTAAAAATACTTGAAAGTACTACTTAAGTAGTTTTTTGGGGTATCTGTACTTTACTTGACTTTTTATATTTTTGACAACTTTTACTTCACTACATTCCTAAAGACAATTATGTACATTTTACTCCATACATTTTCCCTGACACCCAAAAGTACTCCTTACATTTGGAATGCTTAGCAGGACAGAAAAATTGTCTAATTCACAAACTTATTAAGATAACATCCCTGGTCATCCCTACTGCCTCACTAACCACATATGTCTGAGTGTTGGAGCTGGCTGTCCGTAAATAAATAAAAAACAAGAAAATGATGCAGTCTGGTTTGCTTTATACAGTATAAGGAACTTAAAATTAATTAAGGTATATTTACTTTTACTCAAGTATGAAAATTGGGTATTTTGTGTGATCGTAAACGAACAGAACATTGAGCTGAAGCGAATGTCAAGGGCAGCTCTACTGTGATCTGTTCGAGCACTTTCACTTTCAAAGATTCCAGACTAGGATTTCATACCATGTATTGACTGAAATGCCTCTTGTTAACCTGAAATTATGGCAGCCCTGTGAATATTATTGACAATGTATCTTATTATGAAGTGAACAGTCTCTCAACAAACTAGGTCTTTAGGAAAATAAGTAGCCGATGTATATATTCTACCAATAAATGCTGAAGAATATCCACTGTTACTTTTATGCTTTCAAATTTAACTTTTTAAATATTGAAATGTTTTAATTATCTCACCACTGGTCACAGACACGGGTTGTGTCTTCTTCCGTGTCTGCCATCGCGGAATAGGTGTAAATGTTGATCCCAAAATCAGAAATAGCTACGCCCGACCTAGCACAGAAAACCAATTTCTTTATGCCCAACTGGTGCAACTCGCCCAACTCGCCCCAGGTGACATAGGAAATAACATTGTGAACCTAGCGACATTGAGGTCGTGATCATACGGCTAATTTTCTAAATAAAAGTCCACCTGAAGAAACAAGACGTTTTTCTGATTTTAAAATCACACAAATATTGTTTAAAGTTACTTAAACATACATTTATTGAAAATATAAACAATATATACTGAACAAAAAATATAAACACAACATGTTTCATTAGCTGAAATAAAAGATCCCAGAAATGTTCCATATGCACAAAAATCTTATTTCTCTCATTTTGTGCACAAATTTGTTTAGATCCCTGTTAGTGAGCATTTCTCCTCAAAATCATGTCTCAATAAGTGTTTGGGTGCTTTATCCTCATAAGCAATCTGTAAAAAATTACAGCACATCTAACACTGATGCGTTTCAAGAGCCTAAATTATTTCTCTCTCTCTCTCTCTCTCTCTCTCTCTCTTCCCCCCCAGGCAGGGGAGTCTTGTCCTTAGTGCTCTGGCAGGCTGTAAGATGCTGTCGAAGATGGAGAGTGAGACAGAGACCAAGCTTTCCATGAAGGAGTTTGTCCAGTTGTTTCATAACCTGGCCAAAGGTAGGTTAGCCTTTTTCTTTGCTAAAGAAAAGTTCAAGGATAATGCATACTACAGATATGTGCTGCAGCATTTTTGGCTGAGAAGTGTTGAGCGTTAACCCCTTCCTCTCTCTCTCTCTCTAGATGTGTTCAGTGACTGCTCCCAGAGCAGTGAGAGCCCCTCCTTCCCCCTCCTTATAAGGAAGTTTCCTGTGTGGGGCGGAGCGATCTGTCTGCAGATGGCCACCGCAGCCGACACCCGTCCACCTCTTCAGCCACGACGACGTGCAGTTCAGAACTAAACACAGGGGTCAGTGTGTGTGGGTGGGTTGTCATTCATCTTTATAAAACTAACCAGACCCTTACATTTCCAGTTTGTGTGTTGGAACATGGAAGGTGGTTAATTGAAGTTTCTCAGGGCAGGTAGCTTAGTGGTTAAGAGCGTAGTGCCAGTAACCGAAAGGTCGCTGGTTCTAATCCCCGAGCCGACTAGGTGAAAAATCTGTCGATGTGCCCTTGAGCAAGGCACTTAACCCTAATTGCTCCTGTAAGTCGCTCTGGATAAGAGCGTCTGCTAAATGACTAAAATGTAAATGTAAATGTAAAATGACTAACTCTGCTAAATTTTTCTTGAAATGCTTGTAGAACAATAGATATTAAACGGGAAATGTTTTGTGTTGTACTGTTCACGCAAAAACAAAAAAACTAACATATAACAAAAAAAACGAACGGATACAATAATAATAATGATCAACCATTCTAATCAGTGCATTATGTCACCATCAGGTTTGAGTAATGTATCTACAGTATATATCTCTCCCAGAGGAGCCCGCTAGGTCCCAGATGTTCTGGCTGCACCTGGGCAACACGACCCACAGCCTGAGTGATGCAGACCTGTGTAAGCTCGCAAAAAGACAGAAGGCTACTCAGGGGGCCGACATTAGCATCATTGTACGAGATGCCCTCATGAAGCCTGTCAGGAAAGTGCAGTAAGCCACACACTTCAAAAAGGTAATTTGTACACATGATATAGTAAGTCTATTGCAGTCGACTCTTGCATACCACACTTAAGGTGTTTATTTTTCTCCACTATTGAGGAGATTTAAGAGTTTTTTGTTTGTGATGGTACTATAGGTACGAGGGCCATCTGGTGCCAACAGTCAATTGATGGTGGATGACCTTCTGACCCAGTGCTTGCCATCCATAGAATTGACCTGGTGGATTTGCCTAGCGACAAGCTGCTGGAGCCCATCGTCTGCATGGTGAGAAACACACATTCACAGCACAGACATTCTCATTATGTTCACTGACCTTCACTGCTCACAAACATACTGGAAGATGCTGTTTCAACATACACGTCCAGGCATTGTAAACTGTCTCTCACATTTGTGTAATTGCTGAACCATGCTCATGCTTTTGTCTTCTTTGTGTGTCCCTCTGCCCTCCAGTCTGACATTATCCACCACCACGCGACCCACAGTCAACACAGAGGACTTGCTCAAAGTCAGGAAGTTCACAGAGGACTTGGGCTGAGAGGTCCTGGTCAGCTGGGGCGTCACTTCTCCTTATAATGTCTTTACTCTCAAGGCCCATTTGTACCAAGGTTATTATAGTTTTATGTTTTTATATTCGTTTTTATTTCTATTATTGTAACTATTTTTATTTGGAATTCAGTTTAATTTCAGTTAGTTTTCAGATCCACTTTACTAGTTTTTATTTAGTTTACGTTTTATTAAAAAAATCTATTTCATTTTTATATGATTTAGTTTCAGTTTTAGTGTCAGAGACAGAAAGAAGCCTATGTGTGGGAGGCTAGGATCCATTTACAGGGCTTTCAGAAAGTATTCGCCCCCTTGACCTTCTCCACATTTTGTTGTGTTACAAAGTGGGAATAAAATGGATTTGTAATTTTTTGTCAACGATCTACACAAAATACTCTGCAATGTCAAAGTGGAAGAAAAATTCTAACATTTGTAAAAAAAAATATCTTGATTAGATAAGTATTCAACCCCCTGAGTCAATACATGTTAAAATCACCTTTGACAGTGATCACAGCTGTGTCTTACTGGGTAAGTCTCTAAGAGCTTTCCACACCTGGATAATGCAACATTTGCCCATTATTCTTTAAAAAATGATTCATCTCTGCAAATTGGTTGTTGATCATTGCTAGACAATCATTTTCAGGTCTTGCTATACATTTTCTAGCAGATTTAAGTCAAAACTGTAACTTGGCCACTCAGGAACATTCACTGTCTTCTTGGTAAGCAACTCCAGTTTAGATTTGGCCTTGTGTTTTAGGTTATTGTTCTGCTGAAAGGTGAATTCATCTCCCAGTGTCTGGTGGAAAGCAGATGGAACCATGTTTTCGTCTAGGATTTTGCCTGTGCTTAGCTCTATTCCATTTCTTTTTTTTATCCTGAAAAACTCCCCAGTCCTTAACGATTACAAGCTTAGCCATAACATAATGCAGCCACCACTACGCTTGAAAATATGGAGAGTGGTAGTTACTCAGTAATGTGTTGCATTGGATTTTCCCCAAACATAACATTCTGTATTCAGGACAAAAAGTGAATTGCTTTGCCACATTTTTTTGCAGTATTACTTTAGTGCCTTGTTGAAAACAGGATGCATGTTTTGGAATATGTTTATTCTGTACAGGCTTCCTTCTTTTCACCCTGTCAATTAGGGTAATATTGTGGAGTAACTACAATGTTGTTGATCCATCCTCAGTTTTCTCCTATCACAGCCATTAAACTATGTAACTGTTTTAGTCACCATTGGCCTCATGGTGAATTCCCTGAGCGGTTTCCTTCCTCTCTGGCACCTGAGTTAGGAAGGATGCCTGTATCTTTGTAGTGACTGGGTGTATTGATACACCATCCAAAATGTAATTAATAACTTCACCACGCTCAGAGGGATATTCAATGTCTGCTTTATTTTTAAATCTACCAATAGGTGCCCTTCTTTGCTAAACATTGGAAAACCTCCCTAGTCTTTGATGTTTGAATCTGTGTTTGAAATGCACTGCTTGACTGAGGGACCTTACAGATACGTGTGGGGTACAGAGACGACAACACTATTATTGCACACAGAGTCCTACAACTTATGTGATTTGTTAATACACATTTCGATATCCCTTTTATTGTCCCTTATTACGTTTTTGAACATGCACTGATTACATTTTTTATTTCATTTACCCACCTTGGCAGAGTACCTATTTACAAATAACCACTAGAACTCAACAATAAGCCTCAATCCCTCCTAAATAGCATGAAAAGGGAAGGGTAGGATTAGAAATACAGAACGCATCTTGAAACAGGCAAAATATAGGCTACTAACTACAATTTGTGATATTGTGTTCAAGTAAACGGAGGACTTTTATTTTTGAAGCTTTTTGCGCGATTTGGACCCGTTAATGTCGCTTAATGCCGCTGATTTCACGGAGCTATGGGAAATATAGTTTGTGAGCACGGTCTGAGTTTCACTTGTCTGTTAATCATAATAGAAACAGAAAGCATCGACTCCATGACTCCCCCTCTCCATTCCTCTGCAGCTGTGAGAGGCGCGCCACCAAATGGCCTATAATAACCCGTCGTTGGTGACCCTGTTGCGACGGATTCACGGTAATAACCTAATTTAGGGGTCCATTGCGGTGCTAGCCTACATCGTTACATGGAAATAAACACTTTTTCTACTTATGTTCAAGTGCATCCAAACCAGTTATAATTTGAAATGTGATGCTGTGTTGTTTTACTGTGCATGCATGGCCCTTTTTAGGGATAGCCAGGCCCTACACACTAACCGTAGCTAACGCACTTTTGTACATCGCGCTGTTCCGTACATTTAACCTTATTTTAGCGCCCCTAAAACGTAATACTTCCAGGTCAACTGTAATATGAATACCATTGTAAAGCACAATTTCTCCCCTTTCCAGCCAAATCAATGACCAGACCTTCATGCTGCCCGTTTCTGCACGATTGAAGAACGCAATGGAGCTCCGTCTTTTTAAAAATGGCGGGTGGGGAAGTGAAAGCTACTGTCATAGTGAAAGTGGGAGAAATGTCATGTGGGGAAGCGGCTTTTTTCACCCGATTTGTCGAACTTATCACCTCTAAAATCACCTCTGACGTTGCAGCACCCGTTCTGCGGCCTGTAAGGGTACACTCTCGACCTGCTCACCTTCAAGACTTTATCACCTCCTTTCATGCCTAGTTTAAAAGAGAGGGAGGGGGGGGGGGGGGGAATGTTGTGTTGTGTTCGTATTCGTATCATCGATTGGACAGTCTATTTTGTTTATATGTTTTTTTTATCGGAAATGACTAGGTGATTTGATGGTTCTATTTCCGTTGTATTTTGAGATGCTAATTGTTGAAATAAACGTCAGCTTCAACTGAGAACATAACAAGCTCGCCTTGACTGACAGCTCTTTGAAACCTGTGGTCATTGCCAGGTAACAATTGATGACAAG